AAATTAAGCTCCATTAAACGAAAGTGTCAAGTATATCATTATCATTCGATATTACCCCCGTAAGAAAAGCATCTGCACTTTATTCTGTATTCTTATTATTCAGCAAGTTTTAATCTTATTCCAAAAATATTAAAATGGATTAAATTGATTAAATTCGAGCATACTCCCTTTAAAAGGTAAATGAAAAAAACCCCCACAGCATTTTATATGTGATTCAAAGACAAACCCCGAAAATGAGTCGATTGTGAAGAAAAAAATGAGAGGTGGCGTAACCATGAACTTTTAGTGGACAGGTTCATCAAGAATACTTACAATATGTAGATTTAATACTATCTGGGGCTTAAATTTGAATAAAAATTATTTGTGTTGACGGTAGTAACAGCTAACTTAAAGAGCCTTCAAATTTTCATCATTTTGCATTCGTCCCAAAATATATTCATTGTTGACAGTTATGAATGTCTCTGTGTCATTTTTATTTAACTAAAGTCTTATATAATACCAGACACACAGTATGACTATATGAAAATTAAATGACCACGACATTGAAGACTTGAAAGTATAATTTTCCTTTTCTTTATATGTACCTGTAGAAAGTTCTCGTAGAGGTAAGTCTTTCAAAATTAAACAGATTTCTCTGAAATAAAATTAAAACATTTGACTTTAGGAAATGAAACAAACAAATAACATATGTAGTCAACTTTTGGTTGTTTTGAGTCCATTCCGTTGAACACCATCTTTAAGATATTTTCAGCTTCTTTGAGTCTGCTAAACCTACCTTAAGCCATTTTACTTATGATGTATGTTTGGTTTAAAATGAAATATAAAATTGTTCTTGGGTTTGGGAAGTTTACATTTAACTGACTTTTTAAGATCATACATATTATATCATACCAAAAAAATCTATTAAGGTTTCACGTTTCCATGTTTTCTTTCGAACATTTAGATTGTTGCCAGCCCCTCTGTCGCGTGATTAATTGACCAATGATAAGACTGAGATATCTGGCACAACATTAAACATTAACCGTTAAATCAAGTGTAACCCGGAAAATAACATCTTAATTCGAAAACTTTTATCACGATGTAAATCCTGGATCAAAGGTACATACTTTTACCCAATTGACATACAAAGCGGGTTAAAGTTTCTCCACTAGAATTGTTTAAATCTGATCAATACAATCGTTTAGACAACAGGAGTTGTGTACATTTTCTTTCAATAAAATAAAGGTACACTTAAATCAAGCTATATCTAAACAAAACATACTTTTGTTCAGAACTATTTCAAAATTGTTTAAAGGCTTAAGTGTGTCAGTATATGCTTAGATAGCAATATATTATGCTTTTCAGTGTAAAACAGATTATTTCACTGTTAATGGTTTAAGCTTGTTCAAGTAAGAGAGAAATTTATAAGAAAATAGTTTGCATCCGTTGTTAAGTTTTCTATGATGGATTGTCTTGAATCAGGTGTTAGCCCAACAATCCTTTTAATTCGATAACCTTTGCTCTTTGTAAACCCTGGATCAAAAGTACAAGACTTTTACCCCAGTTGACATACCACCAAGTTCAAAGTTTTGCAATCTTTTGTCCACTTGAATTTGTTTAAAGTTTATCAATACACTCTTAGCAAATTACAGAAAGGGTAATTTATGTGTTTTCTTTAAAAGATATGAAAACCCAACTTTAAATCTAAGTGTTTTGAAACAAACTGTTTATTGCTTAATGCTTGAATAGCAATGAATTTTTATTGTTATTATACCTCTAAAAAATTGTTTCCTATCTAAATCTATACTTTAAAATGTCTTTCATTTCCAATGTTTAACGGAGCGGTCAACATAAAATCGATGTTTGACCGCAGAGTGAGATATTGGACCTGGGGATGAGATATTGGACCGCTATGTCACACTATGGGCGGGACCAGCTAAATCTTATTTAACCGCAGTCATGGAAGCCAGCATGTATGTTGGTATAACAAAACATTTATTGACTGTGTTCTCGGACAAAATGCGTTTTGTCGACCCTCGAACCAAACGAGTTGCCCTCGAACCTAGTCAATAAATATATGTTGTATATACCCCGGTAGTGTGAAACAGATCATATCGGGTAATTGACTGCATGGTCTTAGCTGGACCTTGTCAGAGAAAATAAAATTCATCTGTTTATTTATGATAGGTCGTCGCATTTTGGTTATGCTAAGAGTAAAATATTCTATTTAAGGTTTTGAATTCGATTTTGATTAACATTCCAGTTGTACTCTTAAATGAACGAAGTAAATACCAAAATTTCCAAATTTTTGTTTCTGAAATGTCTTAATGTACAATCGTTAGAATTTAATACAAAAAAATTAGACGTACAGCATCAGAATTTAATACAAAAAAATTAGTTTTATCTAAATCAAGCATTCCTTAGAAATCAGCTTCTTGGACTTTATAAAGGTACTTCGTGTCCTTTTTCTTAAAATGACTCGATCGGTCAAGCCGGTAGCCAAGTTGTAGAGCGTTCGCTTCGTAATCAGGGGGCCTAGGCTCTATTCTCTGTCGCCCCTCCGCACCGAATCTACAAAGTTCACATAGATAGTGACTGTTCTTTCGCAAAGCGCCCATCATTATAATGAAATATGAAGATAACGAACTGTAATCAATTTCAAAAGTCCATTAAAACAATACAAATTTGGAGCAAAGCAAACACGGACCTCTTAAACCATCAGAGGTGATTCACGTTTTTTTTTTTTTTTGGGGGGGGATGTGAGACCTTATAAAACGAGGTCCCGATAGACCTGTCACGAAAAACCCTCACTGTTCTATGGCACTAGGTGCCGATATAGGTATAAATTTGAACCGATATATACCTGTGTATGTTGACATCTATATATAAGTGAACAATTCTCAAATGGGACTTGAAACAACGTACAATTAATCACTGAGCAATAAAATGACCCTGTCACAAAAATAAAATAAAAGAAAAAACATGTACATTTGTAAACGCTTCGACCTTGCATTTATTTTATAAGAAGCTGTTAAAACAATTAAGAATAAAGAGTGTTTTTGTCTCAAAATGAATATCATTCACCTTTTTCAGGATTCGAATATCCTTTGAAAATTGTTATGTCAATTTGACCGAAATAACAAAAGAAAAAAAAAACTGTGTTGATAGTAAAATACCACACACATAGATAAGTACTAGGAACCATGCACACTTTAAAATTATCTTTGAAGATAACAGATAAAACACACACACACACAAATACACAAAAACATTGAAAAACTACTTGAACCTTTAGTAAGATTGATACTATCCAATCAAGAGATAAAGAGACAAAGATAAGATGACTGAATAAGACAAAATGCACCATATTTTTTAGCTACACACATCCTTTTCTATTTTTTTTAATGTTAAGGACATACGCAACGTAGTTTGAACTTTATTGTCTTTTTCCCTGGATTTGAAGAATTCCGATACTTAAAGGAATTGTGTGCTACATTTTCATGTCTATATATGCTGTTGTACGCTTCTTCTAAAACAAGTTTGGATAAACAAAACATCTAGAATATATGTTTAGTAATTTTTGTGTATTTTTCTTTGAAGTATACAAAAAATTTCATCAATTGATATCTTTTCAAAACCCCTGGTAATGCATGCTGATCTTTTGTCTACGAACTTCTGATGGCACTATAATCTTAAATTAAGAATATCTTGAAAATTTATCAGTAGGTAAGGTACGTTGCGTATGTCCTTAACTGCATATACCATATTAAAAACAGTTTAGAGCATGCTGAAAAAGTTCTCTTAGTTTGACTTTCAACGTACACGTAGGAGTAAAAGAATAAAAAGAAAACGTTTTATTATCATACCTTTCCTGTCCCTCTTTTGCCATTGACAAGTTTATTTAAAAAAAGCATGTCTAGAACCAGCCATGCGGCAATACGACAATGAAAACTGAACAATTTTTTTCCTTCTAAATGACACCTCTTCTAAAGTATGGATTAAGATATTATCTGAGCTATACTGAGAGAAAATATAAAAAAGTGAATTTATATGCAAATATCAAGATCAAATTGATGAGTGCTAAACTAAAACAGACCCAATATGATGAACCATTACCATTACTTCTTCCTGTGCAAGTTATGACAAAGAAATAGAAAAAAATTATAAGAAAGCAAAACAAGAGAACTATGATGTAAAACTTTTCTAGGGTATCAGTAAGTACGAGACGAGAAAGTTATCAACCTCAAAATGTATCAAAACAATACAACATGGAAAACTGGCTAATCTGGAAACACCAGAGGTGGGATCAGGTACCAAGGATAAGTAAGCATTCCCGGTCTACCAGTGATAGGTGCTCTAAGCTTACAAATGATCAGATTGGTTATAATATATTGATAAATTTTCTTAATATATAATGCTTAAAGGCAATTTATCTATCCATATTCTGGCCTGGGATTAATTCGAAGTCAAACTGATGAAGTATTCAAAATTAATTACAAACAATTCTGGAAGAAATTTCTCTCCAAAATATTGTCCTAAACTAGTTTCAGGCTAATTTTATATATTCATAATAATAGAAAACCTCCAAAACAAAAAGCAATAAAATATTGTTTTCGACTTTGAAATTATAGAATGATTAAGAAAGATGATATGAATTGACACAAAAAAGTGTAAGTAATTTTTGAGAAAGATGAAGTGAAACTAGAACAGGCCTCCACAACAAGAACAAACTACATGTAATTGGTTATGGTCTCCTAGGTGACATTTAATCTCAATAATTATCCTAAATTGATAGAGAAAGAAATATATAATATCTATTTATAGACAGGTCAAAAAGGAATAAATACATTTTTCCAATGATTTTTATTTTTCTACTATCAGCAATTTACATGTTATGAAACATAGAAAAAAAAAGTTGCAATAGCAAAACAACAGGAAGACAGGGAAAATTTATTTAGCAAGTCATTTTCTAAAAACAGTTAGAATGCAGACTTACAAAAGTAATAGCATAATCATTTTCCTCATGTTTTCAAAACAAATTTTGATCTGCTGTTGCGTTCAACATGTTTCAAAGGAGCGTCAAAACATACAGATGACAAAGAGTCTATCGCATTCTTCTCCATGGCCAGCCTCTGTGATTTATTGACGTGAATTAGAGTTGCCAGGACGACAGCGATTATGCAGAGACCTCCTAAACCTCCACCGATTAAACCATAAAGCAAGGTTTTATCCACACCAGAGGGTAGATTTTCCTACATAAGAACAAAACATCTAATACGTTTTTTATTCAAAATTTTGTTGCTTCACAAGATAATTATAGATTTTTAATTCTAGTGAAACTTTACCTTTTTAAGTGATGGGCTTGCTTTTACAAGAAGTTCGAAGTTATCAACTGTGGTGTTAAAGACATTTCCGCCTGAGAAATCGAAGGATTCGCTTTTCATATTTGACCGTACATCTACAGCAGTCACTCGTGAGAGGTATGAACAGCATGTTCCACTGAAGAAAATTATGACAAGATTTGAAATATAATAATAAATGTCACACAAAATAAAGAAAATGAAGCATAGTGTTATTTTTCTGTAGCAATAAATAATTTAAGATATTGAGTTTATTCCAGAATTTTAGTTATAAGCTGTAATAATATATCAAATCATGAATGAAATAAAATTGAAATGCGATTAAAAATACCTTATTGTAGCTATATATGAAGTTGGAGCACTGCTGGTATAGGAAAACTTAACATTACTAGGCGTTGCATAAAGTTTGCTCATGTTGACTTTAAATTCAATATCAATGACAATTGTCCACTGTTGATTTGTACAGTTATAATAATTCATCATGTTCTGTTTGCAATCTTCTGTCTTATTAACTTTTGTGATTTGTGGCGGCTCTATTTCGATAACCTATTAAGGTATATAGAACGTATTTTCTTTGAATCAAGACGAGTTAATCAATAAAATAAATCTTTAGATGAATAAATTAAAATGTATTATCACGCTTACTTCGGAATCATACCTCAAGAGTCCTTTTAATTGTTTGAAGTGTCGTTGTTCCAATATTAAGCGTAACTGTCAAAAGCCTGGGAAAAAATACCATAACTTTGTTTGAAGCACAACCAATCATGTTTTATTCGTAAGGACTTGACAGATATTGTACTGATTCACAATTTTGAAGATAATTATCGAATTTATTATCATTAATATCCCTGCCTATCTTTGAAACATACAAAAATCAGGGATCTTTTTTTCATGCAGTGCCCCTACAAGAATCGTTCGTGGCTTCAAATACATGGATAGGAAAAATAATTCAGCAGCTACATGTCCTAAACTACATAACACTCCGTGGAAGAACTGTGGTAGCCACTAAGACATAAACGCACTAATGATGTGCTAAAGCAATTAGTGGATGATTTGTATCTACTAAAGATATATTTTCATTATTGCACAAAGTTCTGCTTCACTTATGGATGACGCTGCTATCCGTAAATAAAAGGTGTCAGTAATAGATAACACGTTTTTAATTGACGATAAAATGATTATTTCACTAATAGATGCAGTCACAAATTAATGCTACATAGTATCAATAGTGCATTTTAAATATTTAATAATTATCCCAATTCTAGCATATCTCCACAAAACTTTTTCAGCTATATTTAATCTAAATATCCATTTGGAAAGACAAGAACAGTATGAGTGGTATTTCTTAGGCAATGTGGTACAAGTAACAAAAACACGGACCCCTGGAAACAGCAGAGGTGGTATTGGGTGTCTAGGAAGAGTAAGCATCTCAGGTCGACCGTCAGACCTGCCATGAACCCTCCCTCTGTATTGATTCAGGTAGAAAGAGGAATCTACAGTCAAAATTAGTAAAAAAAAACATAACAAATGATATGAAACATATAAGTCAAAATACGACCCAACGATCCTATTCAGAGCATTCTTTTTTCGATCTAATTTAGCTGGAAGACATAAACATCACATTCAGGGTCTTTACAGCCCAGTAGCTAAGTACTTCGGTACTAGCTTAAAAATACGGATATATATTTTAATTGCTGTGGTAAAATTTAGAAATTTATTTCAAAAGTAAGGATTATTTTCCGCATGCATAGTTCTGATCCTTCGACGTATTTGGTTCCAGTTTTTGGTACCTTTTTTCAGCTCTTCAAAGTCTTTTTTTGAAAGTTTTGGATTTCCAACGATTCGACACGAGTATCACTAACATATTAAAGAAATCTTTACATCTGCATCTTTATTTGAATCATCCTCAAAACTAAGCACGATTTTACGGATTTAGAACATTTTTTTCCTTAATTGTATGCAAATCAGTGTAAATCGTTCTGGGAAAACTAGGATATCTGGGAAGACAGCAGGAAAGGAAACACAATCTCTTTCGAATGTCATCGGTCATGGTAAAGCTTGAACTAGATGGAGATCTATGCGCTGCCTAAGTAAGAAAAAACATAAATGCCTTTTTCTACCGTGGCTTCAAATATAGTTCGACGATTACAATATCTTGTGTCTTCATATACTGCACGCCATTAAAGCAATATAAAAATAAGCTTAACTGGTTTAAATGATATACTTGGCTCACGGGAGCTGTTCATATGGGTTCTTCTTTGTCCCCTTGTTTACGCTCTGAATGTGGTTTAATGTCAACTGCAAAGCAGAGTGACATTTTGAGAGAACTTTGTTCCTCTGTAGCATCCTTTTGAACTTTGAGAGTTAAAAGCTTTTCATGTATTATTTATGTTACCTGGCACGGAGACTTTCGGGAAATGTCAGGTTTTAATGATAATGTGACCATGGGTAAAGATTGATTGTAATGATTGTATATTGTTTAACGTCCCATTCAAGAATTTTTCACTCATATAGAGACGTCACCGTATGCCAGTGAAGGGCTTCAAATTTAGACCTATTCTCTGCACTCAGTTCATTGAGCAGTGAGGGTTCTTTATCGTGCCAACGCCTACCGTGACACGGGACCTACGTTTTTAAGGCCCGTGACTTTCACTTCTAATGCCGGGCGCTTGGCGAAGGAACAGTCACTACCTATGTTTACGCCTTAGGTTTGGTGCGGTGCGGCGAACGAGACTCGAACCCGGGCCTTCCGATCACGAAGCGAACGACCTACCACTAGGCTACTGTGACCGGTCACGGGTAAAGATAAGACTTTTCTTAAGTGGAAAAATATTGGTTTCAGGCATGATTGTCTTTCTGCCTTCTGTCTGTCAGAAAGTCATAACCAGACCATAATTCCTAGAATGATTGGGGTGAATTCAAACATTTGTTCTGTTATAACATAAAAATGCAACACGATCTTGACTATAAGTCAGATCGAAAAGGGCAGAAGTACTTAGCAATGGGATAGTGAAATGATGTCAAGTCATAACTCCAAGAACCTTGCATATCCTTGATTCAATCTTAGTATATTGTAGTCGATGCGCTAAAGGCTTGTTAAAATCATCATTCAAGTTCATGTTTGAAAGGTTATCTCAATGAGCAATGACATAGCAAAAAGATGTGAAAATTATAGGATTCCAAAACAACGATTGGAATGAATTATGTTGCTGATCTGGAGGTGTGACATGATCCTCAATTAAGGTCAGGGTACCAAGGTCAATGTAATGACAAAACAATAATTTAAATTTCTTTCTCTTTGCCCTGTAATTTTGTATGGAAGAAATAAAATCAAAGTACTCAGAAGTACAGAGAGCAGGGCTCACTTACAGAGTAGTGAACAAAGACCGTTTTACATAAAACATACATTGTAATAACAGATGAATTACAACAAGTTCAGACACCGAGAGAATATATAACACAACAAATATATTCCAAAGGCATATAGTAATAAAATTTGTTTTAAAAAATGGAATAAAATGTAGTAAGAATTTAATGGCGTAAACAATTTATCACATGTATCGTTTCGGGGTCTTATACCACTTACAAAAGTAAATAAACATTGATGCAGCAAGGTCAAACGTTTATGCACAGATGTATGGAACGCCAAATTAACATATATTCAAATATTTGTACCTATCTTCAAATAATTGTACCTATCTTCAAATGAATTGTACCTATCTTCAAATGAATTGTACCTATCTTTAAATCAATTGTACCTATCTTCAAATGAATTAGAGATAGGTATAACTCAATTATACCTATCTTTAATTCATTTGAAGATAGGTACAATTGATTTGAAGATAGGTACAAATGCAATGAATTGAAGATAGGTATAATTGATTTAAAGATAGGTACAATTGAATTGAACCTATCTTTAATTACTAAGATATTGGCAATAATAACTACTCCCTTCATTATACGATAGGTACATATATTTGAATATATGTTAATTTGGCGTTCCATACAGATGAGTCCTCAGCGGGGAGTATACATCAGGTCACGTGCTCCCCGCATTAGAGTTAGCCTGGTAACCCAGCCTCTATTCATAGAATGTGACGCAGATCAGGGAGACCTGATGAAAACCTTTCGCATATTTTAAAATAATTAATCGAAGAAGAGGGGAGAAAGTATATTACCATTAATGTTTTTTTTCTGTTTAGAGAATTTCATTTAACTTTGTTTAATTTTGTTTGTATTGTCTCAAAGGCGGTTGAGCATACGTACTATATTCTTACTCGTAAATTTGATATGGCGGTGAGGAGGCAGCATTTCCGGTTGAACACCATAACATAAGCCGGTTATTGCTCTACGAGCAATGAGCTGAGCCCGGCTAAAAATGAAACAAGCTTCCTGATCCTACCTCTGGTGTTTTCAAGGGTCCGTGTTTTTGTCCTGTGCACGATTTGTTTTGTTTACTGGATATATGAGATTGATCACTGTTCGTCATTTTCACCTCTTACACTGTAGGCTACCACACTGTTGCGTTTATGAACTACAACAATTTTATTGTTAATTTAGCTCTTAAGAACATTCCACGTTAATCATCTCACTACTTTTTCTCATTCGTGAATAAACTATCCCTTTAAACAATCAAGATATACTCACGCTAATGTATTTGATTTGCTGGTAACCCCTATGTTCATTTCTTGACTCCTGTGAGCGCCTACTGATATGCTGCGAGGGGAGCTGGATACAAATCCTGTAGGGACGGAAGTTGCAGTCACACGAAAGGCTTGAGTCGTACTTCCTGTGTTTGTAATGTTCACCTTCACAACTGTTGATTTTCCAAGGACTAATTTTTCTATAATTATTATTTAATATGTAATGTCTTCTTGTCCGATACGTCTTTAAATGTTATGAATTCTGAAATTAATGCTGTATTTGAAAGGTAAAAAACAAATAATAGAGCAAAAGCTTTATTTTGTACTAATTCATTCAGTCTAGAACATTATGCATTTATATTTTACTTGTTACATGTAATTTTTAGAGATATAATCAGGAATACTAAATCAAATGGTTTGAGGGCTAAAATATGAATCCGACGATTAGATACAAATACAATACGTAATTTACTCAGTATGTATTTTTAATATTTAACTTCATATTTTTAACTTCCTTGTGATCTTTGAAAATTGATGTCACAATTTTGAATTGCATAAAATAGTTACATGTACATGTATGAATACCTGGTTTAGATGAAAACTGTATACTGCCTGTGACTGGAGTTACAATGTCCGCTTTCTCTCGAGTAAACACATTAGAGTTTAAACTGCCGTTGATGCTGACAAAAAACTCCTAAAAATAGTTCCATATTTTAAACAGATATAAGAAATATATTCAAGTAATAATTAAAGAAAGAAAAGCTTTCATGAAAATGCAAGGTTCTTTTAGAAAATACACTTCTATATATTAATACATGTATATGCCAAAGTTTAGTCAATACATGTAATAACTATATCAGTAAAACCTTGGGTTATACTTTCATAACCGCATTGCATCTTGTTCAACCTCTGAACTATTTCTTTGTAAAATTTGTAAAATGTTGTTAGTATGCAAAAAAGGGGTGGATAAATATACAGATTAGGAATGAGAGATGTGGGAAGGCGACAAAACGTTAATTTAGAAAATAGTTTAGAAACAAGAGGCCCATGGGCCACATAGCTCACCTGAGCACTCTGGCTAGGAAAATGCAGAAATCAGTTCAGTATTGAAAAGTTTAAATATTTAAAGTGGTTCCCGGGGTGGGGGTGGGGGGTATGATTTTAACAAACATGACTAATAATATCTTTACTGTTCTTAATTTTTATTGATTTATCCTTTATATTCCTTTGTATAACTATGATCCCCTGTTATGGCCCCTCTGTACTCCTGGGGGTCATGATTTGATCAAATTTGAATCTACATTACCTGCAGAGGATGCTTTCTCTTATCATGACGAATCACAGTTTTGTGTTCTTGAGAATAAGAATTTTAAAGATTTTCCTATATATTCCTATCCAAAACTTTGATCGCCCATTGTTGCCCCACCCTACCCCCGAGGGTCATGATTTGAACAAACTTGAATCTACCTGAAAATGCTTCCATATAAATATGACCAATCATGACTTTGCTGTTCTTGAAAAGAAGCTTTTTAAAGATCTTCCCTATGTATTCCTATGTTAAACTTTGTCTACTGTGGTCCCACCCTACCCCAGGGGGTCATGATTTGAATAAACTTGAATCTACACTACCTGAGGATGCTTCCACATAAATATGACCAATCATGGCTTTGCTGTTCTTGAGAAGAAGATTTTTGAGATTTTCCCTATGTATTCCTATGTAAAACTTTGATCGCCCACTGTGGCCCCACCCTACCCCCGGGGGGTCATGATTTGAACAAACATGAACCTACACTACCTGAGGATGCTTCCACATAAGTTTCATATTTTCTAGCACTGTAGTTCTTGAGAAGAAGATTTTTAAAAGATGCCATACATTTTTCACGAATTCGCAATTAACTCCCCTTGAAAGAAGGCGTGACCCTTCATTTGAACACACTTGAATTCCCTTTACCCAAGAATACTTTGTGGCAAGTTTTGTTGAAATTGGCTCAGTGGTTCTTGAGAAGAAGATGAAAATGTGAAAAGTTAACAACGACGACGACAGACAACGGACAAATTTTGATCAAAAACGTCACTTGAGACTTCGGCTCAGGTGAGCTAAAAAGCATATTATTGTAACTGTAAAGAAAAATTCTAACATAAGAAATAAATGCCAATTTTTGGGTATGTATGAGGATGATTGAGGATATTCATTCCTTACATAATAGCAGTTTTACTTTCTTCATTGGCTTTTATTAATATAATAACGTTTTTAACATTAACATTTTTAAGGGTACAGACCCATAGGGAGCAATTTCAGTTTGGGATGGGAGAGGGGGGGGGGGGGGCACAAACCAAACATTTGGAAATACCTGAGATGTAACGATGTAATTCGCATATAGAACGCGACTGGTGCCACTGTATGTATCTTTTACAGGAATTACATTTAGAACGGTGCCGTCTGGTTTCTTCAATATTATATCGGTAACACGTGCTGTTGCAGGCAATCCGTTGACTGTGACACTGATGGTAATTTTTGATCCTGAAAATTTTAAACTGTTTATCACTATCTTTCACAAAGACAATACTGCTTTCTTTCAAATTCACATTAGAGACAGCTTTCTTCAATAAAGGTTTTCTACTTAAAATTATTAAATTTCAGTTTTCGGGTAATATGCTTTTGACGTTACCAGTAATTGGACTTGTTCCACTAATAGGGTACTGTATTCCATGCACGTCTTCCATAAATTTGTATGTAAAATCGATGTTTCCACTTCCGCCAAATTTTACTTTCCATGTGCCAGCTCCATTTTTATGTAGTTTCCACCTTCCAGAGGGAGGATTCTATAAACAATATGGCATGTTTATAAAATATGTTTATAAAATATTGATACTAAATATGTATAAGAGAGAATAATTCATTTATTTTTGGACATATTATTTAAAAAAAAAAGAACAGTGATTTGTATATTTAGTGAATGGCTAACCTTTACAGATATTACGGTTGTGCTGCCTATCACGTCAACAGAAGAAGTGCCCGAAAATATTTGACTAGTTCCTACAAAAATAGTCAGATTATATTATTGAGATTGAACTAAATAATCTGTATTCTTCTGGTATGAATTTTATGATAAACGTTGGAATTGTTTACCGTCTGGACGATCAAGTGAGACTTGTGAGGCAGACGATAACCCTTCTATCCGGACGGTCATTAGAGATAAATCCGTGTCCACGGCTAATGAATGTACAGAACCAGTCGACATTTCAAATGAGGTCACTTCTAAGGAGCTAACTCCCATGTTCTTCTGTAAGTAAATCTTAGTCTTTGAAATACAATACCTATCCGTAGACAATTATTTGTCTGTAAATTCTAAAAAAAACAAAAAAAAAAAAAACAAAAACATTCGAAGATTGTTTCTAGGTTTTAGAATAATTTCACATCGACTTTGACTTGTACCTTTCGTCGTACGCCCTTGTATGTTTCCATTATCTCCATATATAGTATGCGTTTAGCATTTTGATTTGTTGAAAAAATATTGTCTTTATTAGTATATAGTTGTCTATGTTTAATAAAACCTTATCTTTAATGGTAGCCAAAGGTAGCAGAGAAGATTCAAAGAGAAAAATGTCGTTACTTAATTTATTGAAACAAATTGATAGAGACACTGACCGTGACAAAAGCTCCCAAGATGCTTCCCAGCGAAGATGATGACGTATGAACAATTTGTCCACCAGTTGCTGACGCTATTTTTTCAAACAAATCTATACCTCCAAAACCTCGTCTATTGCGCTCTAATCAAATTAAAAGAAAAATGTCAGGTCACCGTCAACTTAAAACACAAATCATCTTGCAATGGAAAGAAAACATTTTAAGATAATCGTTGCAAACGATATTCCAATCCTTCTGGTAAGGTTGTTCAGGTAAAGGCATATACATGTATATTTTCAGCAGCACTCGTCCTTTTCTTGTTTTGCGAGTTAACACGACGTAACGTCGTGAGGGCTGAGGCCCAATCCCACAAGGTGAACGATGTATCTTTTACTTTCACTAATACTTTAGGTGTTCTATGGTAAAGATGTTGTTACAGATAAAAATCCGACCAGAATGCTTAACTGAGATACTCCTATTAATCTGATGTTTTCTTCATGTTTTTTTTACAGGTAAATATAGAGTAAAAAGGCAATACCATGAAAATTAAACATTTATTTTGCCCATGTATGACAAAACTCCAAACTCATGTTACAAATGATCATCAATATTTCTAATGTTCACATTTTGTACTTAATTTATTTACCAAGGTAATTCAAACTATATATTAAGGGGAAAAAACCTTACTGACATGCTTGTAATAGTTAAAATTCATATACATTCGAGGAATCTTAAGATGACTGATCCTACAAAGTACAATTACCTTTCATTTCTGGAACTTTATTGGAAATACATTGCAAATCCCCGGGAACGTTGAGAGGACGTCGAAATTTTCTTCTATCACTTTTTCCTCGTAGGAAAAACACAACCCTTATACTTTTGCTTCTGATCAAATCAATAACCTTGTGCGACCTGATATCGTATTTTGCCCCGACGTCCGTGAAGAAGAAGAGACAGGACCCTGGGTTGGTGATCTTGAGTGCTTATAAAAAGTTGAAGATCAAGAACAGTGATCAGTCTAAAAATAATCTACAAACAAAACAAATCTGCAAACAGGTAAAACACGGACCCCTGGAAATTCCAGAGTTGGAATCAGGTGCCTAGGAGGAGTAAATATACCATGTTGACTGGTCACACCCGCCGACAGCCCCATGTATTGATCAGGTAGACGGAAGTGAAATTTAACATAGAAACAAAGGCCTAACAAGTGGTATGAAACATGTCAACCAAAATACGACGTAAGATGAAAGGTTATATTTGCTTACAAGGTCAATATAACGACCATAGAATTCACAAAATTCTGTATTTAAATGAATGTATTTAATTGAAATCCCTGTAACATCACCTTATCTGTCAGTAAACTGCCTCGGTTTAAAAATTGATCGTAACTCGGAGCATGCATTTGAGTATCATATAAGTTGGGAGACAAAAACACCATATGCATGTGATTGCGGAATATTACTACAAAAATAAGAAAAGTTGAGGATGGAAAAGCTGAAGTCATCCCGTTTGTCATACATTTTAGTTGTTCCTTATCGCCTAAAGTCAGTAAAACATCCAAATATGAGACAGTGGCAGACTCTATATAGTATGTATAGTATTTTATTTCGAATTCACTGGAATATATAGAGTCAACATATGATCATGAATGGAAATAACTTTTGTTAATTGCTAGAACGTCGTCGATATATCGAAATGTGGAGCTGAAGTCGACTGCAAGTGTTTTCTTCTTCTCGTGCAGAGTTTTTTAATATATGCTGTTTCATAGACAATTCATAGGAAATGGACATAGAAAAAACTGGAGTACGTTACAAACTTACAACAATACTTATCTCCTATATACCGCAAATTCAGCGATTCGTCCTTAAAATTAAGTTTTATTTATCTTTTTAGCAAAAAGTAATGTTAGCGATATAATGATTTCTAGAAAGACAACGGTAACCTCCAATGCAGAATGAATTGTTAGCGATATTCAATTTTAGCGATCTCAACACCCTCGTTAAAAATGCCAAAATTTAATCATTGCTAAAATTTCTACTTATACGGTACATTTGAATACTCATGAATTTCCTACAACAATGAAACAAAGTCCTTCATAGTTATATTATATAACTCAAATACCATCAACAAAGCCCTCCAGGGCCATTTTCGAACAATTGCCTCCTCTATGAGCACCCGTTGCACGCAGCCATTGCTTCATTTCTGTTTCATTTGTCGTTCGTCTTACAATCAGGGCTAAAAGTATAATGCAGAATCAGAATCAATCTCTGACAGAGAGAAACACAATCAGCAAATGTAACTAAATAATACTTATTTACCATAAATCTTTAAAACATTTTTTTACTTGAAGAAAAAAAAAATTAAGACCTGAATGATTATACGCTGTAAATGTGTAGTTGAACATTGAATATGCACCACGAATTAGTGTCTGGTTGACGGCATCAAACCTTTGCTGACTTGCCATCTTTATATCCTCACTTATGCAGCCTGTATCGTGAAATACAACAGAGAGTCCAGATGCAAGGCAGTCATAGCACGGGTTTCTGTAATTCATACCCATCAGTTCTCTGAATGTGTCTAATCCGAGGATGGATAAAAGTCCAGTGTCTGAAATAAAACAGGACAAGACTCTTCCTTGTTCAGTTATTTTTTAAAACAACATGAAATTAGTTTCTTTGTTGCTGATTTTTATTCCTTGATCAATGTTATTTTTAAACTTCAAAGCAGTGAAATTCCCCAAATTTAGATGTGCTTTGATCATATACCATGTCCAACAAGAAAGTCAATTGTAGCCTGTGTTGCGTCTTCGCCAGCCTGTTGATGTAGATAATAATGAGGAGATAATTCAGGGCTTGATGTCTCCTTATTTATACCACTATTGCCTGGAATCGCTTTACTATTATCAAGTGGGCCTCCGTGACTACATTTCCCCATGCCAGATGGGAATGGTCCTAAATAATAATAAAGAATTCATTTCATTCGGAAAATAAATGAAAATGTCTTTTTACTTCAGATATAAGTATCATATTTGTAAATTACCTTTAACAATATACTTTGAATGTAGGCGCTTCAATCATAGAACACAACAAAAATTTTGTTTAAAAAAAAAGATTGTGATACCGATCGGTTTATCAATCTCTTGATAACTTGTGTAACCACTGGTGAGCAGCTGTCTATTTAGTTTTATGTTGTCAGAACATGAAATTCCGTCATATCTTTTAAAGGAAATAAGAAAAGGATGGTAAAAGTTCGATTGTTTCAAAATGTTACAATATTACACCTATGTCTTGTAATAATTCAAATGTATCCTCTTTTCTGACATTCACAAGAACAATGTAACGATGAGCTGAAAATATATAGAATGGATTTGAGGATAATGCATTCCTTACCCATTGTTTGAGTAGTTACAGTTGACACAAGTGACTTCTTCCGGGCCAGAAACCCTCACAGGAAGTGACTCACCAGGAACGCCTGGAAATAATTTTCATAACATGAAATATATGGAGATAACGAACAGTATTCAAGCTCAAAGTTCATTATACAATACAAAATAGGAGCAGAGCAAACACGGACCTCCAAACATCAGAGGTGGGATCAGGTGCCATGGAGGAGTGAGCATCCCCTGCCGAGCCGTCACGCCCGCCGTGTGCTCCTTGTCATGTTCGGGAAATAACGGAAAAATCCGTCGACAATTCAGAGTGTAAATAATGGCCTAACAATTAGTATGAAAAACGTCAGTCAGCATTTGACTCAATGATAAATTGTATTTGCTGACAAGGTCATTGTATCGACCATAGATATTACGAAATGATGACATTAAACGAGACAGCTAATATTCTTGTTTCATCAACTTATTTGTCAATAATTTACCTCGTTTTAGAAATTGTACATACGTAGAGCATGCTCTTGCGTATCGAATCAACTGAGAGATATATACCCCGTATGCAGGTGATAGAGGTATATTGCTGCATAAGTAAGGGAAGTTGACGATTGAAAAGTTAAAGTCATCACGTTTATCATAAAGCTTGGTTGTTAGATTACCATTAACGTCTTTTTCAAGTAAAATATCCAAATATGAAACAGATGTGTCAGACTCTATGGTATCTTTTATCTCAAGTTCACTAGGATATATCGTATCGACATAAGAATGAAAATAGCCGTTGTTAATTGACAATACGTCGTCGATATATCTAAATGTCGAGTTGAACGCCACAGCAAGTGTTTTCTTCTTTTCACGTACAAGATTTTGAACAAATTCTGCTTCATATGAATACAAAAAAGGTCTGCTAATAACGGGGCGCAATTGGTACCCATAGAAATTCCAATAGATTGTTGGAAGACCTGGTCTCCAAAAACCACATAGATATTGTCAATCAGAAACTCAAGCATCTTTTTAATGTCAACTTCAGAGTACTTGTGTGTACAATCAGAATGTTTTTTAACAAAATAATTTTGCAAATGACCAATGACAAGGTAAGTATATTTACGAGTTCCATTTCTATTGAAAAAGCAGCTGTCAATGATATCAAAAAGCCTGGACTTTAATTTATCGTGGGGAATGGTTGTGTATAAAGTTGAAAAGTCGTAAGATTTTAAGCTGTTGATTTTGGTAAAATCTTGTGATTTCAAATTTTCCAAAAGTTCCTTGGAATTTTAAAGTATCCACACCTGATTTACACAACTTCTCGAATATATTGTTGCACAGTACTCTTGAAGTTTCTCCTTCACCACTGTTAATATCTTAGTGAGGAGTAAAGATAGAGGCTTGGTTGAACATTTACTGGAACCCGCTTTGTATCTTTGTTTGTAAGGATTTTTATGAAGTTTCGGAATCCAATATAAATATGGTAATTCAAATTCATTTTGGTTGTTTGGAATGTTAAAAATATTCAAAACTGACATATGATTTTGAAGAATTTCTTCCTTAGAAAGGGAACTATGAGTATAAGTTGGATTACCACTTGTAGAATTAAATCCAAGTTCCTCTAAAATACATTTAATATAATGAGCCTTACAAACAAAGACAATGTTGTTACCTGCTTTGTCAGCAGGGACCAGTACGTACTGATCATGTAATCTATCTAATTCTTTTTTCACTTCTGGATTATTGAATACAGAAGGATAGATGGTTTTCATATTGCCTCTCAATCTTTTAATGCGCGATTTTATCATACATCTGATACATTTAATCCATTCTGACAAAGTGTCAAGGTCTTCTTTTTCATGTCTGGCCCATCGCCTGGCGTAGTCCTCTACAGAATCCATAATATTTATGAAATTCTTACGCCAGTTGAAGGATCTGGGTTCCCTAAATTTAGGACCTTTTAAAATTAGTGATCTAAGATCCTCATTATTAACTATATTTACGTCACCAGTAATAACGTATCCAGCAGGACTATAGTTACAGGGCGAAGAAGAACATGAACACGATGGAGGATTATGTTTCAGATATTCGATATCCAGGCCCTGTAAAGTTTTCTTGTAATTAAAAAGTTTGGAAGCAATACGCAGCTAAGTTAAGGCTTCCCGAAGCTCTAAAATGCGCTCAAAACATAATATGTCATTGCGAGGTTGGTTCTAGTTTTAATTTATAGGTATTGAACTTAAGTACTCCCAATTTATATAGAGGGTTTCCTCGGCTATATATTAACATATTTGTTATGATATCACATGACTTTGTTGATCACGTGACGATCATTTATATTTTTTTGAATTGTTCCATATAAATCGCTTCGGCGCAGCTGATTAACACAATAATTATCAACATTTTGTTATATAAATAAACTCATCGTATCCTTGTGTATCCGAGATGTGCTTGGCAAAAGTCATAGTATTACTTAGAAACAAAATATTTCCTGAGAAATTCAACTTACCTACAAATTTGAGGGTATTTTCCACACAATATCGTAATCTGTATTAAAACAAAGCCAACACACATTTTTCCCAAGTAAGATTAAGTTAGAAAACAACCTCTTCTTACAGATTTCCACAAAAATTCTCAGATTAATCCTCATTAATCACCTGCGCCAGACTCGTTTATACACACAAAATAAATTCTACCTCCAACCACGGGTATAGAACAGAGTACATTTCAAAAGTATATTTTTCATGAGCATTTTGAACATGTTGAATTTTAATCAAGGGTAGGTAAGCAGTGTATTTTTAAAATATTCGGACATATAATACTTAAAAAACCTTTAACGACCCGTGAATTTTGCAATAGGTCTCTAGCATTTTACATGCAGTTTGAAATAAAGTGTAAAGTTCATGACTCTCTCCCCGTCATAACACCTCAAGTTTGCAGTGACTTGACGTCATTTTCCATTATGACGTCATATTTTGGTGGTTCAGAGATGTGAATGCACAGAGTGCACTGTGATATTCTACGGGAAGCCTTAACCTACCTGCGTAGTCGATGTATATTTGTAGGAAATACAAGGTGTAATCTTTAACTTGAAATATGGTGGAATACAAGACTGGACCCTTTTGTGATTAAGGATATTACTTATATTAACCGCGTCAATTCCTTTGTTGGCATATTGAAGTTTAAGGAAAAAACGGATTGTTTTAGCTGCATTTTCTTCAGTAAAACGCGGGGGTTTTAAAAGCCTATGATTGGCAATATCCATAACTACAGATCCGAGCCTATATTCTGGTGTCGAGGAATCAAAAAATGGACTTTCCTTGACCTTTTCAAGAAGACTATTTCAAAGTTTCAAAGGGACAGAGTAAAGTTTGGTGCGAATATGATGTAACCCTAACTGTTGATTTATGTAAGGTAGTAATGAATCAAAAGAGACATCGTGTATTAAAGGTTGATTGTCAGACCGATGCCCATGACTACGCTTACGTCTCTGTGTATGGTTAAAAAGTCCCATCACATTTACATTGTTACACTGTGGACTGGAAAGATTTCCAACACTATCGACATTGTCATTACATCCATAGGGAAAGGCTGTCCCTAGCTTTCTTATCCAAAATTCTTCTCCTTTTCTACGAAAAGGTGTACTCAGTGATGGACTATTTGTGTGGTGGTAAATCTTTTCCAGAATTCTAACTTTCATTGACAAAATTGAATGATCAGGTAAATTAAAATGTTTGTATAAAAGTTGCTGACCCCCATTATTTATCTGAAATCTATGACCTGATGTTCTTTTATTGAGTGATCCCTTGGTTTCACCAACATGTAAACAAACACTCAGTTATTAGGTATATTGCATCGAATTTGACGTTGCACTTACCAAGTTCCTTACAAACATGATTTCCGAACATTTCTACCCAATTGGTATTGCTGTAAAACTCCTGTATAGTGAAGAGATATTGACCAATCAAATCTCTTATGGCATCCCCGTTTGTTTTAGCTCCCTGTGATTTATGAATTATGCTTTCTTTCAGGGACTGAAGAAGCAGATGCCCTTTATAATAAATATAGAAATAAGAATGAAAGAGAGTTTGATTAAAAGACATTGTGAAAGACAAAATATGAACTCATTCTATGTAAATTAGTAACTGAAAACTAAAGGACCTAAAAATATAGTTTTTTTAATAGACTTTATAAGTGTCTAAATTTGTATGAAAAACAGAATATAGAGCGAAGTTTTGGAATAAACAAATTCAAGCTTCATTGTATTTTTGATACAGTTTAACCCACCTGCAGCAATTTGTTCGCAATTCATTGTTCTGACGGCATCGTCCATGTAGTTCTTTTGGGCCATGTTGTTTTTATCAACTATATACTGGACAGTTTGGACAAAATTCTCCAGTTCGTCATTGCCTATATGAACAGATAAAAAGTCACTTAAAGTTAAAATTAATTTATAAAGTATATTTCTTTGTAAAGGAAATGAAGAGAGGAGTAAACCTCTGTTTATCAACTACTTCTCAAACGTTCTAAGTAAGAAGTGACACAAAAATGTACACAAAAAGCGATGATTCCTAATATTCATTATGGAATTTTTCCCCCCAAAATTTCCACAAGCAAAATATTTTTACCAAAATAAAAAGGAGTGCTTTCTAGGAAAGGTTTTTATTTTGAACTTGTTGAGTTTGTGTTTAGAACTCCTTTTTATGTCAATTTCTCCAGTTTTCTGAAATTTTCATTAAAGTCATATATGGCGTATTTTTTATAAGTTCAGACTAACTAAAATTAAAAAGATCTTTCTATTTGTTTTACTACTTTATATAAAGATAGGACTTTTCTGTAAATCACACAATTGAAATCAATCACGTTTCAAAGATATTAGAAATTTAAAACAATAACCGATTTATTTACCGACTCCGCATTTAATTAACAGACAGTTTAAAGTCAATTTAACTATGGAAACATGAGGTTTTTCAAGTTCAAAATCGGTGAAATTTTTAATTTGAACGTAAATAACATATATCATGTTTATCTACACTCCATCTCGTGTTTTTATTATTATTATTTTTTTTTTTAGCTCAGATACGCCATATATAGCTTTAAAGTATATTCCATTAGAGTGCTTTTGGGATGAAAAAAATATTTTATTTCTTAACACAGTAACTTGAATTCGATATCATCAATAAACGTAGAAGGCAGAAACATAATGTTTTAAAAAAAACTGACAGACATCTTTATCAAAGGATTTCCAATATCAGTCTCTGTCTCAAATAACTAATACACAACCTATATGTACAGTTATAAACATGCATAAGCATTGAGATGTATGTCACAGTAGGGTTATACATCTTAAAAACCTGTTATTTTTTGCAATTATTAAAACACACTTATTGTAGCCAATTCTAATACAAGAATAATAATTATGTATAAATACACTTTAGAGATTAAAAATATGAACGTACAAACAAGGTAATCTTGTAAATCATCTTGTAAAAAGTCATACCTATACCTATTAATTAATTACCTATTTACTCAACGGTTAGAAGTAAAAAAAAACTGTTTCAGTAACTTTGTCTTCAGATCATATCAAAGTATCAAAATTTACTACAATATCAAAGTATTTTTTACTGTGAAATTCAAGTGGTTATTTTTTTTTATATAACTTCCAATCCTTAGTGGTCACTTTTTTATATTAAAAAGGAGTATTACTTGAATATTTCAATATATTTCCAATGTTATCATATTTGATGTGGAATTTAAGAGACATTCGGTCCTTACGCTCTAGATCTCAAAAAAGAGAGTTCTAATAAAGTACACAGTAAATCAAAGTTTTATGGTTAAGTATCAAATTAAAGTTTCGAGGTTTCATAGTCAATTAAAATATTAAAGTTTGTACTAAAAATTGTTGATTAATATATATATATATATATATATATATATATATATATATATATATATATATATATATATATATATATATATATATATATATATATATATATATATAGTATATACCATGTATTTTAATACTGTTAATATTTTACTATGACGTGATTATTATAGTTATTGTACTTTTAAAGAGTATAGAGAGCAATATCCGAAATTTTTGAAAATTTTTAAGCTTGTAAATACGAAATATTATGCTATTTTAATTTTCTTAAATATTTTTGTAGATATTTGTTCTTTATGTTGCTTTTACTGTAGTAAGAATTTTCCGATTTTAAGATAAATGTACTTCAATTAATTTTTAGCAATTTTGAATAAATTAATTGATTGATTGTATATTGTTTTATGTCTAATTGGAGATTTTTTTTTCGTACACATTTTGACCTATACATGGGTCTTTCAGTTGTACGTAGCAGTGAAGACAATGCTTCCAATGACACGAGACTTCCGTTTTTAGGTCCCCTGATTCACTTCTAATGCAGGGGCGCTTGGCGAAGTCATTGTCCAAAACGTCTAGGTTTTCAAATAAAAACAAAGAAAAGATAATAAGAATTTACGGTGAATTAAATAACATTATTACTTACTAAAGAAGGTACGCAAAGTGTCATCAAGATTAGAAGAATTGTATTTTCCTGGATCTATGACTTTATCTATGACATCAGCAACAGCCTGGTAGATCGCAATCTGAGTGATGCTGGCGTGAGTATAGTCTGCTCGTCCATTTGTACTTTCTTTAGAAGGTAGAAACGCTCTTACACAAGTTATCAGCAAAGAGCATACAAGGAAACCCTTCTTCATCTCTTTCAGAATGAAATTTGAATTTATTTTAAAACCATTACGTGTTTTTTTTCCCCTTTAACACGTATGTTCGATTTTCTTCGTGATATACTTTAAATACAAACCAAACTTTTCAATTTTGCGAACACGAGGGAAAAATCTGTCATGATTGGTTTATTTGCTTAACTTTCGAAGGGAAGAATTTTGAACTTTGAAGCACTTTTCAACCATAGTCAGTGCAATCCTTCGAGACATAAGATTACGAAGAAGTTTAAATGAAAAGCAAAGTGTCTATTTCATTGCATGTGCAAATACTTCAAATGAGTAGAAAATTAAAAATCAATAAAACGCATAAACGCAGCATTGTCCATGTAATCAAAACGTGTAAGCAAGAATCGATTTTTCCTAATTTTATTTGTGTAAATTCTTATAATCATTAAAACTTATGATGAATACTTTGATATTTTGTTACAGTAAGGTATTATTTATTTTCTGTTATTTCTTTAAATAAAACAATTATATACACAATTATTATGTTGAAAGAATTCAAAACTAACTCATGTAAGAAATATTTCAGAATATTTATTAAAAATTCGTTATTTTAGGTCATAAAGTTATGTTTATAAAAACAATTGTATATATGTTGGCAACAATCATTTCACTCCCGAATATACTGCCCATGAAGATTTTTATTTCTGGATTTCTTTTGAATAAGTGGTAATTAAGAAGATAATAAAATGTATTGTGAAATCACTTGTTTGGTCAGATTCTAACTTAGAAAGATTGCTTTTAGCATTTTCAAGGCGAGGTGCTTTTTCAAATGACTAAATATGAGAAGGGTCAATTTTGACCCCCATAAATCAACATTTTCAAATGAGATTCACTCGTGAGACAGAATTTTTTGGTATTTTCACTCATGCTTCGCACTCTTGAAAATATCAAAAATCCCTGTCCCACTCGTGAAATAAATTCCATATCCAACTACAAAACATTGAATATCCTCTATGTATTTTTAAAACCACCGGACCTCAGCGGTGCGATTTGGTACAGAAGCGTTAAACATAAACGTTAACGTTTTCTATGGAACGCCTTCACTGCCTTATAGCTGAACACTTTAATTGCATTGTGTCAACCTTACATTGCATTGAGTCAATTCTTTAGCTTGGCATTAGAACAAAAGTTTATTATGTGATGTGAAGATATCTTAACATTTTTTCAACTCTTTATTACGTTATGTGAAATGATCATTACGTGATGTAATGATGTGTTCACTTTATTTCGATTCAGTGCTACATCAAGTCAAAAATTCTTAACTTAATGTAAAAGATCATTTATTTTATGTCAACATATCTATTATATTATGTCAACTCTATCAATTGTCATTGAAAATCCATGAATGCTTTGAATATACCTATATTAACAATAGTTACTTCTATTCATATGTCGACTCCATATATCCCAGTGAGCTTGAAATAAAAGATACCACAGACTCTGACACATCTGTTTCATATTTAGATATTTAACTAGAAAAAGACTTTAATGGTAACTTAACAACAAGGGTCGCCCGCGTGGCGCAGTGGTTAGAGCGTCTGCTCTAGAGTCGCGAAGTAAGGAGCTGATCCTTAAGTCGCGGGTTCGAATCCCACTGTGGGACGTGGAGACCGGTCCTTCGGATGAGACCGTATAAACCGAGGTCCCGTGTCGCAGTAGGTGCTGGCACGAAAAAGATCCCTCACTGCTCAATGGCCGTAAGTGCCGAGTATAGGACAAAATTTGCAGCTCTCCACCGGCAAGTGGTGGCGTCTCCATATGAGTGAAAAATTCTCGAGAGGGACGTTAAACAACATACAAAAAAAAAAAAAAAATAACAACAAGGCTTTATGATAAACGTGATGACTTAAACTTTTCAATCGTCAACTTCCCTTACTTACGTAGCAATATACCCTTTTCACCTGCATATGGGGTTTATGTCTCTCAGTTGATTCGATACGCAAGAGCATGCTCTACGTACAAAAAATTTCTAAAACGAGGCAAGCTATTGACAAACAAGTTGATGAAACAAGATATCAACAGTCTCGTTTGAAATCATCATTTCGCAAGTTTTATGGTCGATACAATGACCTTGTCAGCACATACAGCCTATCATTGAGTCAAATGCTGACTGACGTTTTTCATGCTTATTGTTAGGCCATTATATATACACTGAATTGTCTACGGATTTTTCAGGGTTTTTTTATCATGACAAGGAGCACACAGCGGGTGTAACCGGTAGGAAGGGGATGCTCACTCCTCCATGGCACCTGATCCCACCTCTAAAATTTGAGGTTTGCTCTGCTCCAAATTTGTATTGTTTCATTGGACTTTCGAGATTGAATCTTGTTCGTTATCTTCATGTTTCATTGTATCATCTTATCATTACGTTATGTGAACTCTTTACTATTTGGTGTAAGTAGTGCATTACATGATGTGAATTTATCTTTCTATCACTTCTTTATCATATGCAGTCAGAATTTGAAAATAATGTTCATATATGGTCAATTCTTTACTATATTATGTCATCAATATGCTACATGATGGCGGAAATCTATTACGTGATGTGAATTTGCCGTTACGTTTTGGCAAATCATTATTACGTTATGCCATCCTATTTTTACACTGTGACAAAAGTACATAGCTTGTTATCAGCATATCTTATATTATTTCAACTCTGTATTATGTGGATCGAGTGAATATATCTTAATAAGATACAGAAAGTCTACTATATGATGTAGGTTTACCGACCATTACACAGAATATACTCCTTCATTAGCTTATGCAGAAAGTTCATTTTGTGGGGTCAATATTATGTTACTCATGCAAAACAAAAAAAAGACATCTACTGTAAAATTATATACAAGACTTAATTATTTCTCAATCAAAGTATTAAGTTTAAACTTATGTAGGGTTATGTTACTGTTGAATCTTCATCGACGTAAAATTATTTTTCTTTCACGCCGAAATACGATAACATTTAATCTGACAATTTTCGCCCATCTAATGTTACATAAAATTTGGTTTTATGCAGTACAAAGGATATTGGTTTTAATTTTGGAATTGTTCTCCCATAAAAGTCCGTTACTTCTAATCTTGCTACAAGACATTATCCTTGGATTTTTATCAGCTGTTAACCCCTCTCTTTTTTTCAAGAAGTGAAAACACAGCGTATCACATGTATGTACGTGCTTTCTAAGGCACGGTCATTTAATTTAGATGAGGGGCTGGCAGATTTTGGAAATAGATATTCTGGCCCTGGAATGGTTGAAAAAAAATGACTGATTCGCCCTAATTTATCAGGATCCCCCTTCTCAATTGTGAAAACAATCGTCCACATCCACTCTACACGAGATTGACGCAAGCGTTCTCTATTTTTCAATAACACCAATGGAAAGATAAATTCACGGAAAACTTACCAAACAATCGTGCACATAATGAGTATTGATATAATAAAGGTGTGTTCATATTACATGTAGAAATTTCGACAAAAGAGATACAGATTTGAAATAATGTAAATGTATTTTTGCATCATGTAATGAACTTTTGGTTCAAACGTAATAAAGGGTTAACACAATATAAAGATAGTTTTACATCACATCAGAAGGAGTTAACATAACTTAACTATATATCCACATCATGGAATGGAGTTTTGACATCATGTAATAAAGTGTTGATATAACATAAAAATATGTTCACATTATATAATTAACTCTTTCACACCACGTAATAAAATATTGACATAAAGTTAACTTAAAGATATATCCACCTCACACCATCATGTTTTTGACGTGATATAAAGATACAAGCATATCACGTCATAATGCTTTTATATATGTATAATGTAAAAATACACTCACATCAAGGAATGGACTTCTGACCTAAAGTAATGCTAAGTTTAATTATAAAATACATGTAAAGATATTTTTACTTTACGTAATGCAATTTTGACATCACGTAATAAAGAAATGAAATGATGTAAAGAAACATTCATTTCACGTTATAAAGTTTTGACATAATGTAAAAATATTTTCACTTCACATAATGAACTTCTGACATCAAGTTATAAAGTGTTGACATAATGGAAGAATATATTTACTTCATGTAATACAGTATTGATATAATGTTAAGATATCTTTACTTCACCTCATAAAAAATTGACATCATGTAAAGATATGTTCACATCACATAATGGTAAGTTGACATAATGAATATATAGCTTTATCCTATAAAGCATACATTTACATTTTTCGGTTTCAAACATATTAAAAATGAATTCATTGTAGACATATTTTGGCAATCCATGTGGAAAAAAATATTCGAGTGATGACTACAGGCAATTCGATTCCTAGTATTTTACTCGTAATCTAAATTCAAACCTTTTCAGTGCCGTGAAATAGATCTTATATCATTATTTATTAATGATATGTTTTCAGAAGCCGGCAAACTACCTACTTTCTCTATTTAGAGAAGCGAAAGTGTGTGCATGATTAAGATCCTTATATTTGTGGACTTCTAACCAAACTGTTTAAAAATGACAAAACAAACAGAAAAACACCATTGACTTCTTTCAAAATTTTAAATAAGATAACAAGCTTTTTGTTTAGGATGAGAACGTAACGTGGAATTCTTTTTTGGTATTTATTTTAAATATATAACATAGCTACACCATTCACAACATTCAAAAACTGCTTATTATGTATATGATTTTTACAGATGATTATTTTAAAATTATATAATTTTTCTTGATTTTAACCTATGTATGAAATGAAGGAAGAGTAAAATATTCTTTGTAAACGATGTCTGTAATAAATATGTGAAATCTGTATTGCTAAAAGTATTGAACTGTGTATGTATTTGAATGTATGTAAAATATTCATATGAATAAATAAAGAAATAAAGAAATAAAGAAATATAAAAAGAAAACCATCTTTCATTTGATTTATGGGAATTGCATTTCAGACTATATGTTCTGAATTATACACAAGACTTTAAACAATTTAATCAGTCGACCATAAGCTTTGATATATTGTTCGCTGTATATTTGCATGATGGTTCGAATGATCTACTTATTTTAATTGCAAAATTTCCATTCAGGACGAAGACCCTAAAATTGCAGAATTCCAATTCAAAACATTTAGTACATTCGGATCAAAACGCCGATTTACATTCCCTTCCTCCTAAAATAAATACCTCTGGCATTTTGAAGATGAATGTGGAATTCTAATTTTTTGATTTTTCCAAAGAATGTACATTTTGCACTCTTTCACGCTCTAAGATCAATCGTGATAGTGAGTGAAATAAAACTGTTGACAAATTAGAAACACATGTTTAAATAACATTTGTTTAGTACATGAAATAGATCTTCTAGTGGTATATAGGGAAAAAGGAGTAAATAAAGAACAGTGATTGATCTAAAAAAAAAAACAAGATGTGTTTGTAAAACACTGATGCCCCCGTATGGCAACTTATAGTGAAGGTTAAACTTTCTCAAACACAAATCAAATATGTTGGTACCCAAAGTAAGGTCTTGTCCCGAGAAATATACCTGTGAAATATGAAAGCCCTAGCAGCAACCATTGAAAAGATATGAAAAGGTTAAAAAAAAAAATTCAAAAGGAAGTCAAACATCAAGGTCAAGGTCAAATGGTCAAAATTAATGGTGCCCAAGGAATGGCCTTCTCACAAGAAATACACATGTGAAATATGAAAGCCCTAGCACCAACCGTTCAAAAGATGTGGCCAAGGTTAAAGTTTTTCAAAAGTAGGTCAAACTCCAAGGTCAAAGGGTCAAAGATGTTGGCATCTAAAGGAAGGTCTTGTCACAAGGATTACATATGTGAAGTATGAAAGCCCTAGCACCAACTGCTAAAAAGTAATGTCCAATGTTAAAGTTTTCCAAAAGTAGGTCAAAATCCAAGGTCAAGGTCATGGGCTATAATTGTTGGTATCAGGAGGAAGGTCTTGGGATAGGTAATAAACTTTAGAAGAATGAAAGCCCTAGCACCAACTGTTCAAAAGTTATGGCCAAGGTTAAAGTTTTTCAAAATTAGGTCAGACTCCAAGGTCAAGGTCAAAGAGTCAAAGTTGTTGGTATCCAAAGAAAGGTTTTGTCATAAGGTTTACACATGTGAAGTATGAAAGCCCCAGCGCCAACTGTTCAAAAGTTATGGCCAAGGCTATAGTTGGGTGAAATTTTGTAAAACTGGGTCAAACTCCAAGATCAAGGTCAAAAGGACGAATATGATGGTACCCAAAGAAATGTCTTGTCACAAGGAATACACATGTGATATATGAAAGCTATGGCTCCAACCAATCAAAAGTTATGAGCAATGTTAAAGTTTTTGCGGACAAACAAACAGACAAACAAACAAACAGACAGCTAGACAGACAGACAGACGGACAGGGCAAAAACTATATACCCCCGAATCTTCGATATGGTGGCATAAAAACTACAAACAATTCAAATCTGTGAACAGAGCATAAAACACGGATCCCCGAAAAATCCAGAGGTGGGATCAGGTGCTTAGGAGAAGAAAACATCCCCTGTCGATCGGATACCTGCCGTGGGTCCAATGTATTGATCAGGATGAGGAATATTCCGCAGTCAATCATAGTATAAAAACAAAGGCCAAACAATTGATGTGAAATATATCAGTCAAAATACGACTCAATTAATGATAGGTTATATTTGCTAAAAAGGTCTTTATCTCGACCATAGAACTTACGATATGCTGACTTTAAATGAGGTTGTTGAAATTCCTGTAACATGAATTTATCTTTCAGTAGCCTGCCTTGGTTTAAGAATTTCTTGTACTCAGAGCATGCTACTGAGTTTTAAATAAGTTAAAGACATAAACACCATATGCAGGTGATAGCGGAACATTACTAAATAAGTAAAGTTGAAGTAATCTCGTTTGCCATACAGTTTAGTTGTCAGTTGACCCTTATCGTCTATAGTCAGTAAAACATCCAAATATATAGATTCTCTTTAATTTCGAGTTCACTGAGATATAACGAGTCGACAATAGAATGGAAGTAACTATTGTTACTTGATAAAACGTTGTCAATATATCTGAAGTGTTTTCTTCTTCTCATGTAGAGGTTTTTAGTAAATTCTGCTTCATAGGAATATGAAAATAAGTCGGCTAATAAAGGAGCACAAAAAATGCCCCACAAAATTCTAAAGGTGTTGGAAAACCTGGTCTCCAAAGACGTTGTCAATGAGGAACTCCAGTATCCTTTAAATATCTACTTCAGAGTAAACGTGTGTAGAATCAGAGTGATTTTATAATATTTTTGTTGACGACCAATTACAAAATATGATAATTCGAGTTGCATTTTTATTACAAAGCAGTTGTCTATGATAAGAAAAAGGCCTAATCTTTAATTTATCGTGAAGAATGGTTGTATAAAGTGTAGAAAAGTAATAAATTTAATGCTAATGGCTTTTAAATTTTTTAAAAATTTTCTGAAAGTTCTTTTAAGTTTTTGAGAATCTAATTGATTTACACCATTTTCTCGAATATGATGTAGCACAGTACGACTGAAGTTTCTCCTTTACAGCATGCGCATTTAATATTTTGGTTAGGAGGAAAGATAGGGGCTTGGTAGAACATTTGCAGGACACGGCAATGTATCTTTGTTTGTAAGGATTTTCTTTGAAGTTTAGGAATATAATATAGGTAGGGTAGATCGAACTCACCTTCGTTGACTAGAATGTTAAAATTATTAAAGATTGAAATGTTATTTTGAAGAATTTCATCCTTAAAAAGTGAACTGTGAATATAAGTTGTATTTTCAGATGTAGTATTTAAACAAAGTTCTTCTAAAATACAGTTATGATAATAAACCTTACAAACAAAGACGATATTATTACAAGCCTTGTGCGATGGAACCGTAATATGTTGTTCATGTAGTATTTCTCACCTTCAATTTTGTGAAAACGGAAGAATATATGGTTCGTATATTGCCTTTTAACTTTCTAACGCGATTCTTTGATATACATGTGTATTTCTAAAACACTTAAAATTCATTTTGACAAAGTTTTCATTCCTTTGCTGGCAATTTTTTAGGAACCGATCGAATTATAATCCTCATGTGGCGGCTTAAAGAGCCTGTGCAGGGCAACATCCATAATCACAAAAATTAGCTTGTATTCTGCAGTTGAAGAATCCAAGTATGGACTTGCATTACCTTCTTCAAATAGTACATTCAAAATTTTCAAGGGAACCGAATAAAGATTTGTGCGAATGTGAAGAAGATGTAATTGTTTATTGACGTAAGGTAAAAATGAATCAAAAGAGATATCATATATATTTGGTCTTCTGTATAATCGATATCCATGACTACGCCAGCGTCAAGGTGTATTGTTAAAAAGTCCCATCTCATTCACACTGGGTTTGAAAGATTCCCTTTCTTATTAATTATTAATTTTATGTGGTCTTGCAATCATACGGAAATGCAGTGCCTAGTTGCTTAGTTTCCTGATGCATTAGTCTTCTCGTTGTCTACGGAATGGAGTACTTAAAGTGGGACTATAAGATATATGTTCTCCCAAAATTCTAACCCTCGTTGAAAAGATTGGATGATCAGGCGAATTGAAATGTTAAGAAGATGTTGATAGCCCTCATTTTCTTATTTCAAACCCATGCTCCGGCATTCTCTTGTTGATCTAACCCTTTGTTTCCAAATATAAATCAGTCCGCATATGGTACATTCAACACTTGGCAATGGAGTATACGGTATCCGAAAAGGAATTGTGTAAAACATTTCTGATTGAAACGTTACAACGTTGCAGAATCGAAATTTTAAGATATTTTTTTTTATTTTTAAATTCAAGAAATAAAGCATTACATTGGTTTTAAGAGAGATGGAAATACATGAAAAGTGAAACATATGTCGAATATCTATATCATTAAAGTAGACTATGGAAAGGGATTAACTATTTTTTTTATTGTGTAATTTATTTAGAGAAAAAAAAAATAAAAATACAAATAACCAATTTTTTTTTGTGCAGTTTCGTTCATAGTATGGGCACAAATTATTATCATTAAATGTCCATAGCAAACCGTCTGCGACTTATCTCTACTTGTTTCAAAGAATCACCATTCTTAATATTCTTTCTTCGTTTGCTTTTCAATGCTCTCCTTTCTTTTAGTTTTATACGTACAGCAACCATTACTATGACAACAACAACAATTAAACAAGCTGTCCCGGCACCAATCAGTTCCAAAATCACGTTGTAGTCTAGTTCAGATTTGTTTGACATATTTATCTGTGTGTAAAGATAAAACAAGTTTCACTTTGAGGAAAAGCAATTTATTGACAGTTCTTTTTAATTATGCAATTTTTCAGTACATATTATAAAAGTTCCATAGAGAGTCCTACACTCCCATGAAATGACATTGTCACTCCACAAACCACTTTACCTTTCCAGACACAGGGGGCTTTTGGAGAAGATCGATGTTTTCTACTGTTGTATTAAATAAATGTCCACCTGATAAGTTGACGGGTTCCATTTTCATATTACCCTGCTTGTCTATGGCTGTCAACTTTGATATGTATGAACAGCAGTTTCCTCTGGAAATAAACACGCAATGATAAGAGAACTGTCTTACAATGCATTTTATCTCATTTTATAAGAACACACAAAGATATTACATATTTCTCCCATTTTACCTCTTGATGAAGTAGATATCACTCATTGAATATATATTTCTTACAAAAACAAAACAAAACAAAAAAAAACAAGAGGCCCGAGGACTACAACGCTCACTTGAGTCACTTTGGTCCTGCTGTTATGCATTAGATTTTTTTCCCAAAATACACGTATTTCTCTCTATTTTTGGTCGCCTTTTGTGGGTCCACCCTATACACAGAGGCCATGATTTGAACAAAAATTAATCTACACTACCAGAGGATGCTTCCACAATAATATAATTCATCATGGATTTGCTATTGAGAAGAGGAATTTTAAAGATTTTTTCCCTATATAATCCCTATTGTGGCCCCACCCAACCCCAGGGACCACATTCTGCACAATTAACAAGCTATACTACCTCAGGAAGCTCATAACTAAATTTAATCTTTTCTGGTGCATTGGTTCATGAGAAGATTTTAAAAGGTATTTCCTATATATTTCGATTCCCTATTGTGGCCCCACCCGACCACGGGGGCCATGATTTGAAAAAATTAGAATCTATATTATCTCAGAAAGCTTTCACCTAAATTTCATCTTTTCTGGTGCAGTGGTTCTTCTTGAAAGTTGAGATAAAGATTTCTTCTATATATTTAATGATCCCCTATTGTGGCCCGAACCTACCTCCCAAGGACCATGATTTAAACAATTTAGAATCTACATTATCTTCCCTTAGCGGGGGCTTTGGTTCTTCATTTGACAATATAGAATCCCCTTTATCCAAAGATGCTTTGTACCAATTTCTGTTAAAATTGGTCCTGTCGTTCTTGAGAAGATGTTGAAAATGTTAAAAGGTTACAGACAGACGGAAAGCTAGGCAGATTATGGACAATGGGTGATCAGAAAAACTCACTTGAGATTTCAGCTCAGGTAAACTAAAATTATTCACATGCCTTATGATGGCATTTAAACAAATACATGTGTCTCTGTCTGTATACATGGAAGATGAAGATAGAATTCCAAATGTTATCCATAAAATGAAATATATGGAGATAACGAACAGTATTCAAGCTCAAAAGTCCATTAAACATTAATTATAGAATAGGAGCAGAGCAAACACGGAACTCCAAAATATCAGAGGTGGGATCAGGTGAGATGGAGGAGTGAGCATCCCCTGCCGACCGGTCACACCCGTCGTGTGCTCCTTGTCATGATCGGGAAATAACGGAAAAATCCGTCGACAATTCAGTGTGTAAATAATGGTCTAACAATTAGTATGAAAAACGTCAGTCAGCATTTGACTCAGTGATAGATTGTATTTGCTGACAAGGTCATTGTATCGACCATAGAACTTATGAAATGATGACTTTAAACTAGACTGCTGATATTCTTGTTTCATCAACTTGTTTGTCAGTAATTTACCTTGTTTTAGAAATTGTACATACGTAGAGCATGCTCTTTCGTATCGAATCAACTGAGAGATATAAACCTCGTATGCAGGTGATGAAGGTATATTGCTGCATACACAGGCAACTTTGCCACATATGATCCACATATGTGTATCATATGTGAATCATATGATTGGTTTCATATGAGAATCATAAAAAAAGGGCATCATATGTGAATCATATGAAGCAAATCATATGAGTCACATATGATTCACATATGTGAATCATATGAAAAAACTTCATATGATTTGCACGTGAAAAGTTTTAGTGTGTTTCAAGTCATTTACATATGAGAATCATATGAAAGGGACATCATATGTATATCATATGAAACATTTATGTGTTTTTTTTTCATATTTATCAAAAGGAAAGACACACTTTTACACATTGAAAATCAGGTATTTCTGCTTTAGATGAAATTTCAGTACATTCCAATGATCTGTTAAATACCTGTAAATATTTGATAATGCTTGCACAATTTTCCAAAATATCTTCATCAACAGAAATAACTAATTTCACACAATGCACACTTTAAACAAGAAAGTATACAAACAAGTCAGTAGCATTTGTCGATACATGTATTTTACAAATTCTAAAATGAGTACAAATTATTTGAAAGGATTTCAGCAAAATGATCAAGTAGATGAACATGTATACATGTACCAATGAATAACATAATTAGATCATGAACTTGTATAAAAATACCATATGACATGGAAGTGTCCTTAGCAAAATTGAAATATCTGCAATAACATTTGTCAATATTTGTAATCTCTGTTGTAAATTTATGACAAATCATAAGTAATTCAGATTACATGTACCTACAGCATATTTAACACATAAATGAGTATGAAATCATAAAGGATGGTGTCTCGATCTAACAAACAAAGATACATATATACATATATATAGTTTTTCATAAAAATGTTTATGTATTTATGCATAAAGCATGAAATATAAAATGTGAATATATTACAATGAGATTTTACAATCAAAATGATATTCCAGTATACATATAAATATAGAAAGCCTTGCATGTCAAATTTTGACAAGATTAAGTATATCCTCCTCATTCATATTTATTCCTGATATTTCCTAATTCTTTTCTCTTCTTTCTCTGTCAACTTTTCCCATTAGTCCTCCCTCTGATCTTCCATCACCATATAGAAAAACTCTTTGACCTGTACTCAAAATGCAAATCCACCAATTTCCTCTTTCTGAACAATTTGTTTGTGGCATAGAATAATCTCTAAAAATTATTTTTAAAATAATTAGCATTTATAATAATAACAGGAGGTCCAGGGACCACATTGTTCACCTGAGCAACAATGGCAATTTCACTTAACTCTGACACAGGTGGCTTTTGTGAAATACAATACAAGGTTCTTTGGAAAAAAAAAAGATAATACAAAAACAGCACTGTGACACTGAACTCCAGTTTCTAAAAACATTATTTAAAACACATTTCTCATTAATTTGATGAAAGAACCGAATGAATAACGATCTCAACAAACATTTTACGTTAACTACTATACAAGGTTTCTACTTTCACTTTCATATCGAATATAAATATCCAAGCGTAGCTATTAACAAAAGGGAAACAAATCTGAAAAAATAGTGATGCTAAATGGCCTGAACATTCATCGTTAACAATTCCAAAATTACTTATTGATCACTAGGTTTATCGGCTTTTTACGAACTGCATTAATTTAACAATTACATGTACATACAAGTGATGAGAGTACTAGAAAGTTTATACGGATCTGTAACCGTAATGAAATGATTTGAACACAATGAACTAGCTTTTAACAAGTCTTTTAAAACGTATCTAAGATCACTTACTTTTTCCAACACCCAACTCTTCTGCTGCAGTAGTGACGTCAAACATGACGTACACTTTCATCTGATAAAAACCGAAACCGGTCCGTAAATAAAATGTGGAATGATTTTAATATTTTACTCATAAAATAAACCCAACCATAACAGTTTTTGGATAAAATACAAATTAATTTATTCTTGATGAATTTAGTTTTTCAAGAAAACGAATTTTTAATTTTGTGAAAGGATTTTTTTTGGGGGGGGGGGAGTAACAGAGTACTTATTCCCATTTTATCCAAGCTTCTTAAGGAAATGAACATCTTGATTCTTTTGAATAAATATACATTTAAATTAACACATCTTGATATATGTTATTGAAATTATTTTTGAATCATGCAGTCTACTTGTTAAATTATATAACACCAACTTATTCATATTAAGCTTAATAGGAAATTATTCAAGTGTTAACTGATTAACATTGAATAAACATATATTTTTTTTTATCTCAATGAATTACAATAAAAATGAATTTTACCTGTTCATAACAAGGACAACTAAATAAACACACACAGATCTGTTTCATATGATTCTCATATGATCATTTTCAAAGTATGCATATGATTCTCATATGCAGGAACTTTCATATGTGTTTCATATGTATATTCAAACATATGATTCACATATGTGTAAACATATGATCCACATATGATTTGTCACATATGATACTCATATGTTTGAATATACATATGATTCTCATATGATTCTCATATGATCCTCATATGAAAGGCAATGAATATGTGGATCATATGTGGCGAAATTGCTTATGTAAGTAAGGAAAGTTGACGATTGAAAAGTTAAAGTCATCACGTTTATCATAAAGCTTGGTTGTTAGATTACCATTAACGTCTTTTTCAAGTAAAATATCCAAATATGAAACAGATGTGTCAGACTCTATGGTATCTTTTATCTCAAGCTCACCGGGAAATATCGAAGAAGAATGGAAATAACCATTGTTAATTGACAATTACGTCGTCGAAAATGGAAGATCCTTCTTGAAAAAGCATCATTACACACTACTTTCTGCATGGTATTTTCATTAACATTGCGGACAGGAAAACATAAGGCGGGATTTAAAACTAATACAATTCGAAGAAAAACTATTTAACAAAAAATTTCCCATGCTTTGTGATTGGATAATATTTTCATACAAATGTATTTATCTCCTCGCCTTAGTAGTCACAACTCGTTACATAAAAATCTAACCATCACAAACTATTTAAGACTCTCTGTCTCTCTCTCTCTCTGTATATATAGGAAAGATAAAATTAATAAGGCACCTTAACGTTGCAACATAAGTCGATGAAGTTGTTGTTTTCTTTACGTATATAAATTCGATCTCACTTGGTGTAACATACAGCTTGCTCAGATGAGCCTTAAATTCTACGTCGAGGGAGACAGACCAGGTTTGTTGTGAGCAGTTGAGGTAATTCATCACCTCCTGTCGACAATCAGCTGTACGGTTGATTTGGGTGATTTCAGGGGGTGGTAACGCTGTCACCTACAATGTTCATATAATATTTTTTTGTATAATTTTCAGTGAACGAAAGAATAAAATTTATATGCATGGATTCAATTTTGCTGTTTACCATTCTTCCCTTTTTATGATGAGACTAATTCAATAAAAATGCTTCAAAAACAATTTTATAGAATTATATACTTGTATCAAATTTATAATTTTGCATTATCTTTGTAATGAGTTTTTCTTTTAGTTACTGTTTAGAGATTTCCGCATCGACAGAGTGCAAAATACAAAACATTAATTGTACCGTGAGCGTTCTCATGATCGTTTGTAAAGTATTTCCACTAATCTTAAGTTTAATAGACAGAGTCCTGCAAAGAACAAAAAAAATTAATTAATTAATTAATTTAAAAATACAGTCACAATTTCTAGCATGAAATATGAAATATAATACTTTGATCCTGTGCTATCCTTTATATCGGGAAAATTAGAATATCAGAAATCTATATTGCTGCTTTTGTAACTTTCTTACGCTATTGTCAAATTCGGGGCTGTTAGTGTTATTTCTTTTTCCTGGCTTTTATGTGCTCCGACAGACACGATCTGAGAAGATCCAATGACGAATCCTGTAGGGACCGATGTAGCTGTCACCTGATAAGTTTGGGATGTGCTCCCCGTGTTTGTTACATTTACTTTGATTGCAGAAGTCTTTCCAAGAACAAGGGTCTCTGACATGCAGTAAATATAGAAGTATTAAGTCGAGGCTAATATAGATACAATGCATTAATTCTTAAACATTAATGTTATAGACAATATATTGAAATTTTATATGAGCATGAGAGTCTAGATTGTTTCGTAAAGTATGAATTTGGATATTGTACCTGGTTTAGAAGAGAACTTTATATTCCCAGTTACAGGTTTAATAACATTTGACTTCTCTCGGGTGAATATTTCTGAGTTTATGCTTCCATTAATGCTTACATAAAACTCCTACAAAGACAATACACTTAAGCAACACATAATTTCCAAGTTGAAAAATATCCTATTTGTAACGTCGCAAAATGGTATATTCAAACCTCTGATGTGACGTCATAATAGGCATATACGTCTCTTTGTGAATTTGTTGATGTGTCTTTCACAGGAAGTATGTTGAGTATAGTTCCTGATGGTTTCCTAAGAATGATGTCAGTTACACGAGCTGTTGATGGTATTCCAGTGATGCTTATACTAATGACAACCTTTGAACCTGCAATTATATTTTGGGAACGTATTTAAATTTGCTTGGAAACATTGCAAATCAAAGTTTCAGTAAAGGTAATTAGAATAAATTAACATCGTCATAGGAGTAGCATGCGTAAGTTCTATACAACCAAGATGGAATAACCATCTTATACTTGTGCTTCATGCTTCTTTGCTAGTGAATTGTTAACTTTTGAAAAAGAATTCGAGCTTACGGCACAACGTTTTATTGTCAATTGTTTTATTGTTATTGTGCTAAATAGGTTTGTCGGCAACTTCAAATAGGACATTTGCTTATATTGAATCATAAAAAGAGATAAAAAATACATACTGAGCACCGTTCCTTTTTAGTTTTTGAACACTGCACACGAGAGTCATAGAATATTTTAGGTAAATTATTTCACTATACAAGGTTATGCTACAAGTTACCCTTTATCAATAGTTTCGATACAAAAAGTACTACAACTTAGTGGCTAATCAGACATAATTCTTTGTCAGGGCAGTTAATAGGTTTCTGGAAAGAGGGTTGCGGTCGAGAGTCTGAAAGGGGGTATCCCCTCCTCTGAGCCAGACTTTTTTAATTTAAATGAATGGGTACCATTTTGGTGGATTCTGGTGCATTCTTGAAGTAATTTTTTCATAACTTGAATGTAGAAAATCTAGCAGCATTTAAAAAAAATATACTAGTAAGTAATGAATTTATTTTCTTTCGAAAATGAAATTTTCGTGTGTTTCTTTTCAAATGGGGTGCGATTGCGCACAACGCACTCCCGTTCCAACAGACTTGTTTATGACATAATTCTTGGAGAAAATCATTATATTTGCAATGGTATGAATGATATGCATTGATTTTTAAAGCCAAGTTCATCACTGAAATGTATAAGAGAGAAAATGTACTGCTCAGAGCCTAATTTGATTCAAGTCAAACTTCTGTAATAAAAGTAACCTAAATTCTGCAATAAAATGTTGAAATTCTGTCAAGAGATTTATAATCGAGTGACACTTAAAAATGTAAAATAGTTGCCTGTAATAGGATTGGTTCCACTGATAGGATACATTAATCCAAGAATATTTTCCATAAACTTGAAAGTGAAATCAATTTTCCCGCTTCCTCCTACTTTCACGATCCACGTGTTTACGTCATTATTATGAAGTGTCCACTTTCCAGGAGTCGGCTTCTAAGAATGAAAAACATGCAAAGATGATGAGATGATCAAAAAACGCCAACTTGTACAAAAGGCAATACACTCTTCAATGTTCATCTACTATCAAAATGGAATTATCTAAAACACTTACCGGAATAGAAAGCACTGTAGTGCGTCCGATAACATCAACTGAACTATTGGATAATTGCTGAACTGAGCCTATGGGGTAAATGTAACATAATATTATCGATGGAAGTCAATCAATTTAAAAAACATTTTCATATAATACGGAGATAAATCTTTCATTGTTTACCATCAGGTCGATCCAACTTTACATTTAAAACATTTGACAGTATCTCTATTTTTACTGTCATCAATGAAAGTTCGGAATCTGCAGTTATCGTGTGCATAGATCCAGGCTTGGTTTCAAAAGATGTCACCTCTAATGTCGATACTCCCATGTTTTTCTAGAGACGAAACAATTTTATTATTTCAATTTTCAAATAATTTTATTACAGTTTTACTTCTCAAAATGTATTCATATACTAAGTATTTTATCTAGGGTATAAAATCTATCTTAATGTATTTAGCTTAGATTTGTCAGTCAGTTTGAAGAAGGTAACATCAACTGTATCATACCTCAACAAATGTTCCAAGAATACTCCCAAGAGACGTTGATGACGTATGCACAATCTGCCCTCCTGTTGCAGATGCTATTTTGTCAAACAGATCCAGTCCTGCAAGGCTTCGGCGTCTCCTTTCTAGAACATACAGGGAGAATGTATAAAATTGAAAAAAAAAACGCTTTCTTCAAATTTTAAATTGCACTGAAAAATATCAAACAATTTTTAATCATATAACTCTATATAATTCTTAAAAGTACGTAATAAAGTATTTAATATTTTTAGAAATATTGATACGATGTTTACAAACAACTAAAGTTGTTCAAGTAATTCAACGTTCATTTATTGATTGATTGTATGTTGTTTTACGTCCCATTCGAGAATTTTTTACTCATATAGAGACGTCACCAATTAACAGTGAAGGGCTTCAAATTTTGACCTTTACTCGGCACTCAGGGACATTGAGCAGTGAGGGATCTTTAACGTACCAACGCCTGCCGTGACACGGGGTTTCGGTTTTTAAGGTCTCATCCGAAGGACCCGCATCTTTCACTTCAAAGTGCCGAGCGCATGGCGAAGGAACAGTTGCTACCTATTTTTTATCGACTTAGGTCAGTCGCGGCCGAGATTCGATCTCACGACCTCCCGATCACGAAGCGAGCGCTCTACCGACTGAGCTACCGTGAACCGTAACGTTCATTTATAATATCGTAAACAAAACAAAGCAAAAAAACAAACAAACAAACAAACAAACAAACCAAAAACAAGATACACAAACCTGTCCTTCTTTTGTTTTCATTTGGAATACATTGGACATTTTGCGGAACATTGAAGACAGACCGACGTCTACGCCCATCACAATCCCCACGCAGGAAGTACACAAGTTTCATGTGTTTGCTGTTTACTAAATTTATAACCTCGTTCGCTTTCTCTGGATCTTTCGCGTCGGCATCAGTAAAGAAAAAGACACATGATCCAGGATTTGCCATCTTCAGTGCTGGAAAAAAAATGCCGTGTTTCACCCTTTTTTAGAGGACATCACAATTTGGCTGTTATATAAAATGTTAGAGAAATGTCCGTTCTTCTTTAAAACATAAAATATGAAAAACAGTGCTTCAAAATTGGCGTATATTGCAATCCATCCTTAACATAAATGCATAGATGTAAATTGATTACATCCTGTAAAGTCCATAACTATGATAATTCATCGGAACTAAAACTGTACCATTTACGATTCCCGCCATTGCCATTTCTGGACAATCACCACCACCATGTGCCACCATAGCATGCAGCCATTGTTTCATCTCTGATCCATCTGTTGTAGAGTGGATGGTTGTATCTGATACAAAATGTAGGAAATCAAATAAAATATTTCTTAGCCTTCTATCAGATGTCCGAACTTTACTTGTACAGATGATTAATATACAGCTATTGGAACAGAGGAAGTGTTTCGTACACGTTAATGGAAGTGTATAATCAGGTTGAAGTCAACAATAAAGTATCATAAAGGTATAAAGACTACGATTTATTTGTTCATGCATTCTGTCGTTCGTTTCTAATCGTCAAAGATAAACTTCAGGATAACAGGTCTAAGTGCCCTAAGGCATTTTTTCTTTCGATATGAAACCTGTGTATTTAGAACCAAATAAAGACGCTAAGCATTTTAAGCACACCTACCTGGATCATTAAATGTGGAAAGTATGTAGTTTGATGGTCCATTTGATCCAAGAAGAGATGCTTGGTTGACGATATCTATGCTATGCTGAGTTGCTTCCCTTATCTCTCCACTCATAGACCCTGTATCGTCAATCACAAATACCACAGAGAGACCGGGAGCCAAACAGTTGTAGCATGGGTTCTTGTATGTCATCCCTAGCATTTCCTTAAATCTGTCGATTCCCAAAATTGACAGCAGCCCAGTACCTTAATTAAGTTTTTAAAATTAAAAAAAAATTATTGAGTTTGAAGTAAATTGTAATATCTACCAATCTAAGAATTAATGATAAAAACTTTGTTACCATTTCCAATGAAAAATTCATAGGTAGCTTGTATCGCTGCCTGACCCGCCTGTTGATGTAGGTCAAAATGGGGAGATAACTCCGGACTTGATGTTTCTTTGTTTATACCCCCTGTTGCTGGGATATCTTTACTCATATCGTAAGGCCCTCCATGACTGCACTTCCCCATACCGGAAGGAAAATTACCTATTTGCAATATTCTTTGTTAAAAGGATGTATACCATATACCATTTTACATAATAAAATATGTTCAAATCAATATATACCATGATTTCATTTATTTAAAAAAAAACATAATGCTACATAAAATGGAGATAATAATACATACAAAAATAACTCTTATAAGTGTCTCATATTCAGTGAAATCTACTTTTTTGAAAGTAAGGTTATAAACAAGCCATTTAAATATTAATAAAAGAATTACTTTCATAAGATATATGTTATAACACTATACCTATTGGTTTATTAATGTGCTGGTAGCTGGTATAGCCACTTGTAAGAAGTTGACCATCTGATCGCATGTTGTCAACGCAGGAATAGTCCTTCACTCTAGGAAACAAAACATAATAAAATAAAATAAATGCCAAGAGGTAGATTTACTAACTCTATTCTCATGAATGATTGAATAAAAGAAACTAGTTATAAATTAAAGAAACTAGTTATAAATCATTGAATAAAAAAAAAGAAAGATCATGGAATGTCTTGTATTACTGAGTAAACTTACGCTTCCTTAGAGTAGTTACAATTGACACACGCTACCATATTAGGGTCAGACACCTTATAAGGAAGAGATTGACCTGAAACACCTGAAATATATCAATTTCCCCAACTATGAATTAGTGTTATGCATAAATAGTGTCGAAATGGGTATACACATGTGCAGCTTTTGATGACTTTTTCTAGTGTCAAACAGATTTTGATAAACGTAAGGAGGTACAATTAGTGATAATAATGGGCTATTGACTGAATATCAGGAAACTTACCCGCTAGAGGTCTTTGCCCGGGTTATCTCTATATAATTTGTTGTGAAATATATCAAAAAGTTTAATAAATATATTTATCTAACTTTCGTTTTAGAATTTTCAAACTAATAATGACAGATATAGAGGTAAACACATATTTCATGAACATTTCATAAACACTTATTATTCTTTGAATAACATTACCTTAATCGTAGGTGTACACTTAAAACAATGCATGAGCGGGAGGTCGTTAAAACAAACTATTAGTTTTTTTTATAGATATAAACAGTTGTCTATTATTTTTCGATGCCTTTCAATTGTTTTCAATAAAATGCATGAAATTCTTGTGCTGCAACTTTGTTGTGTATGGTTTGTGTATAAAAACATCAAAGACTTTTTAAAGAAAGTCATTTTTGATCATAGTCTATACGTATTTTTACCTCAAATTACATCACATCATCAAACAAAAATTACAGAATTTTATCTTTAATATCTCGATTTATCTGGCAAGTGTTTGCTTAATTTAAATTTTAAAATAATGAATTCTAAAAAAAATTTCATCACTTTTTTCTAACAAGACAAAACGTGTACTTTTGGGCAGAGTATTTGCGTTAATCATTATATAGAAAACTTTGGAAACATTCTGTATGAAATATATGGAGATAACGAACAGTATTCAAGCTCAAAAGTCCATTATACAATACAAAATAGGAGCAGAGCAAACACGGACCTCCAAAACATCAGAGGTGGGATCAGGTGCCATGGAGGAGTGACCATCCCCTGCCGACCTGTGACACCCGCCATGTGCTCCTTGTCATGATCGGGAAATAACGGAAAAATCCGTCGACAATTCAGTGTGTAAATAATGGTCTAACAATTAGTTTGAAAAACATCAGTCAGCATTTGACTCAATGATAAATTGTATTTGCTGACAATGTCATTGTATCGACCATAGAACTTACGAAATGAACGAAATGATGACTTTTAGCTGATGATATTCTTGTTTCATCAACTTGTTTGTCAATAATTTACCTTGTTTTGGAAATTGTACATACGTAAAACATGCTCTTGTGTATCGAATCAACTGAGAGATATAAACCCCGTATGCAGGTGATGAAGGTATATTGCTGCATAAGTAAGGGAGTTGACGATTGAAAAGTTAAAGTCATCACGTTTATTATAAAGCTTGGTTGTTTGGTTACCATTAACGTCTTTTTCAAGTAAATTATCCAAATATGAAATAGATGTGTCAGACTCTGTGATATCTATTATCTCAAGCTTACCAGGATATATCGTATCGACATAAGAATGGAAATAACTATTGTTAATTGACAATACTTGTGTGTACAATCCGAATGTTTTTTAACAAAATAATTTTGCAAATGACCAATGACAAGGTAAGTAAATTTTATTGAAAAAAGCAGCTGTCAGTGATATCAAAAAGCCTGGACTTTAATTTATCGTGGGGAATGGTTGTGTATAAAGTTGAAAAGTAAGTTTTTAAGCTGTTGATTTTGGTAAAATCTTGTGATTTCAAATTTTCCAAAAGTTCCTTGGATTTTTTAAGTATCCACATCTGATTTACACCATTTCTCGAATATATTGTTGCACAGTACTCTTGAAGTTTCTCCTTCACTACTGTTAATATCTTAGTTAGGAGTAAAGAAAGAGGCTTGGTAGAACATTTACTGGAACCCGCTATGTATCTTTGTTTGTAAGGATTCTTATGAAGTTTCGGAATCCAATATGGATATGGTAATTCAAATTCATTTTTTTTTTGTTTGGAATATTAAAAATATTTAAAACTGAAATATGATTTTAAAGAATTTCTTCCTTAGAAAGGGAACTATGAGTATAATTTGGATAACCACTTGTGGAATTAAATCCAAGTTCCTCTAAAATACATTTAATATAATGAGCCTTACAAAGACAATGTTGTTACCTGCTTTGTCAGCAGGGACCAGTACGTACTGATCATGTAATCTATCTAATTCTTTTTTCATTTCTGGATTATTGAATACAGAAGGATAGATGGTTCTCATATTGCCCCTCAATCTTTAATGCGCGATTTTAACATACATCCGATACATTTAATCCATTCTGACAAAGTGTCAAGGTCTTCTTTTTCATGCCTGGTTCATCGCCTGGCGTAATCTTCTACAGAATCCATAATATTTATGAAATTCCGACGCCAGTTGAAGGATCGGGGTTCCCTATATTTGGACCTTTTAAAATTAGTGATCTAAGGTCCTCATTATTAACTATATTTACGTCACCAGTAATAATGTGTCCAGCAGGACTATAGTTATAGGGAGAAGAAGAACATGAACACGATGGAGGATTATCTTTCAGATATTCGATATCCAGGCCCTGCAAAGTTTTCTTGTAATTAAAAAGTTTGGAAGCAATAGTCGATGTATATTTGTAGGAAATACAAGGTGTAGCCTTAACTTGAAATATGGTGGAATACAAGACTGGACCCTTTTGTGATTAAGGATATTACTTATATTAACCGCGTCAATTCCTTTGTTGGCATATTGAAGTTTAAGGAAAAAACGGATTGTTTTAGCTGCATTTTCTTCAATAAAACGCGGGGGTTTAAAAAACCTGTGATTTGCAATATCCATAATCACAGATCCGAATCTATATTCTGGTGTCGAGGAATCAAAAAATGGACTTTCCTTGACCTTTTCAAGAAGACTATTTAAAAGTTTCAAAGGGACAGAGTAAAGTTTGGTGCGAATATGATGTAGACCTAACTGTTGATTTATGTAAGGTAGTAATGAATCAAAAGAGACATCGTGTATTAAAGGTTTATCGTAAGACCGATGCCAATGACTACGCTTACATCTCTGTGTATGGTAAAAAAGTCCCATCACATTTATATTGTTACACTGTGGACTGGAAAGATTTCCAACACTATCGACATTGTCATTACATCCATAGGGAAAGGCTGTCCCTAGTTTTCTAATCCAAAATATTCTTCTCGTTGTCTACGGAAAGGTGTACTCAGTGATGGACTGTTTGTGTGGTGGTAAATCTTTTCTAGAATTCTAACTTTCATTGACAAAATAGAATGATCAGGTTAATTAAAATGCTTGTATAAAAGCTGCTGACGCCCATTATTTATCTGAAATCTATGACCTGATATTCTTTTATTAAGTGATCTCTTGGTTTCACCAACATAAACAATTCCACAAAGATTACATTCTAATCAGCAGACAACATTAGAAGATTTGCAGTTCAGATTTCCCCAAGTTTTGGTATAAAAGCGCTGTCCAGTAAGATTACTGGTGAAAGAAGTGTTAGTTATCAAAATGTCACAGGTTTTACAGTATTTGTATTTCAAATTGTATTTCAATTTAACATATGAAGAATCATTAATATTTTACCTAATTCACGACACACTCGATTTCCAAACATTTCTACCCAGTTTGTATTGCTGTAAAACTCTTGTAGTGTAAAGAGATATTGACCAATCAAATCTCTGACAGCATCCCAGTTTGGATTAGCTGTTTGTGATTGGTGGACAATGTTATCCCTCAGAGACTGCAGAAGCAAGTGACCTTCAAAAAAGTACAAAAGTACTTCAATAACATTTTTATGAATTAAACGTTTAGAGCTAAAGTGAAAAAAATAAGTTCTGATAATATTTCAAGTCAAGAAGTGCTGACATTTTCAATTCCCCTGGTCACAAACGGTGATATATGGGAAAAAATTAGGATGAATCATTGTAAGCTTGTTCCATTCTGTTGGTATATCTGAGTTGTCATTTCAGATATTAGTTTTTTTATATAAAAAGTTTTTGATTCTGTTACATACATAAACTTGTTTTTGTAGTTTGTATATACAATTTATAAAAAGGCAGCTTCTACATGTACATCAAATAGAGAGAAAACGTTTTGTTCATATTTAAATGATGCACAACAATAAGACTGATTTTAAGGCATACATGTACGTACATTATAAAGCAAGTATTTTTAAACCTATGGACTTTAATATTTTAATCAATCAGGGGGAAGTGCTTAATACAAAGCTAGAAATAAAAACTGTGTTTACAAGTGAAAGTGGAAAAAGAAACGAATGATTATTTTTTTAATAACATTTTGATTATGATGATCTTCCTGTAAACATTGGTTGTAATGCATAAAGATTTGATTTTTCCTTGAACAACAGATAACAGTTTGATATTTTTCTTTTACCAGAAACAATTTGCTCGCAATTCATCGTCCTCGAAGCATCGTCCATATAATTTCTCTGTGCCATGTTGTTCTTGTTTACAATATCCACAACCGTTTTGGCAAAATGAATAAGCCCATCACGGTCTTGTGAAGAAGAAAAAAAACAAAAATAAAAAATTGAACAGTATATATAAATGAGATTTCAAAAATATCAATAACTTTTCTAAAAAGGTTTTGTATATTCTATACATATAATATGTTTCATCCCCTTAACCTACTTATATGTTCATTAAATTTAAAAAATAGAATTAGTATAAGATTGAAACACACCGAAAACAGTTAATCAAGAGACTATTTGAGGCCTGTTAAATGTTGAAAAGGTACATGTACATGAACGAAGTGCAGAGTAAATATCAGATATATTACTGAATTGATTTAGATTATTAATGGATGCATACCTGTGACATTTTGGACAATAAAAAAAGGAATAAGGTCAAAACAAAATTAACAAAATTTTGAAAAAGAACATTTACCAAAAAAATTCATGATGGTACCATCGGGATCAGACGAGTTGTATTTTCCTGGATTGATGACGTCAGCTATAACATCTGCAACAGCGTAGTAGATACCGGCCTGTGTGATGCTGGCATGGGTGTAATCTGGTCGTCCACTTGTACTCTCTTTAGAAGGTAAAAATGCCTTCGTTAAAAGAATGCAACATCCAAGTAAAAATGTAATAAGCAATTTCATGTTTACGGTGTATATCTAATAACAACTGCTGTGCTCTTGATTCCGTTTCGTATTAAATAAATCCTCCGAAATGAAATTTGTGTACTTATATATCCACTGCTCGCGTACCTTAAATGTCTACGAAATGATATCAGATGTTTTATTGGTCGTCAGATATAAGGCTTCCAACAGTGCTTGCAGTCCAGGCCTGGTGTCCTCGAAAGACATTTTTCCACGAACTTGTCACATTCACAGAACATTTAATTTTCCTCTTTTTTAAAGTGCCGAAAATGTCGATAATCTTTATTTTGAATAATCATTTAACATTTTGTGTTAATTCTACCTCAATGTCCAATATAAAGTGCAGTGTCATTTTATGGAATGAAAGCTAGTGATATTGCTAGTTTATTTATATGTATCAGAATATTTATTACCAATGAAAAATCATAAACAAAATAATAAATAAAACATTATTGTGAAGCTTTCATACAAATATCATTATTAGCAATATACAATATAACTAATACTCAATTTCTGTCAATTGCATACAAAAGTTAACTACACAATCACACTTTGTGTTTAAGTGAAAATTACAGTGATAATATTAATAAAACAGATTTTACTTTGTTAAACAAAGGACAAGAAAGTAAAGGAAATTTGAAAGAAGATAAAAAACATTAATTTCAACTCTACATCGACGTTACATTGTTGTCTACTTCTCCTTATTAGTCCCCTACTGGTGAAACCGGAGGGGACTATAGGTTTCCTCTGAGTCTGTCCGTCCATCTGTCTGTCTGTCCGTCCGTCTGTCTGTCTGTCTGTCTGTCTGTCAGTCTGTCCCACTTTGTTTTCCGCACTTTTCTCCTAAAAGCTTAAAGATATTGAGCTGATTTTTGGTATGTGAGTGTATCTTGAAAAGTTACAGATCAAGTTTGCATGTCATTTCGCATCATTAATTTTTGACGGAATTACGACCTCTTCAATTTCTAAGGGGTTTCCGCAATTTTTTTTCTTAACGCTTGCAGATATTGAGCTGATATTTGGTATGTAACTTTACCTTGATTAGTTATAGATTAAGTTTGCATTTCATTCCGCTTCAATGATTTTTGACGGAATTATGGCTTTTTCAATTTTTAACGGGAACCAGATTACACATGCCGGCAGGGGACTAGTATTGCTAATGCAATACTCTCAGAATGCTTGTTTCTATTCACATACAGTCCTGTAAAATCATTTGATTTTTCTCGTTTTACTTTATATACTTTACCAAATCCTCCTGAAAAGTAATTTCTATTTGAGATTTTTTTAAAAGAGCTTTCAAATCTGACAAATAAGATTTGACTGCTTTCTAAGAAAACAAAAATTTTTGGAAAAAGGTTCAAAGTAAGGAGACCAGAATGGAAGTCATGTTATTCAATCGCTAATTTAAACCAAGACAAATCCTTTCATACTCAGTGACTCCAGATCTAAATCTATCTATAAACAAAAAGATAGTGATTGTGTATGTGTGCATGATAGTGCTAAAACTTTCTCCAGATAAACTCTTAAAAAGTAAATATAGTATTTATTTTGAAGGGCAGACTTAAGGATGCATTATGTGAGACATTCATTCATCTTTTTAGCTCACCTGAGCTAAAAGCTCAAGTGAGCTTTTCTGATCACCCGTTGTCCCTCGTCCCTCCGTCCGTAAGTCTGTAAACTTTTCACATTTTCAACTTCTTTTCAAGAACCACTGGGCCAATTTTAAACAAACTTGGTACAATGCATCCTTGGGTGAATGGGAGCTTGAATTGGTAAAATGAAGGGCCTAGTCTCCTTACAAGGTGAGATAATCAAGAAAAGCCAATAATAGGGTGGGGTCATTAAAAAATCTTCTTCTCAAGAACCACTGGGCTAAAAAAGATGAAATTTACGTGGAAGCATCCTTGGGTAGTGTAGATTCAAAATTGTTCAAATCATGACCCCGGGTTAGGGTTGGACCATAGAGAATCCAAGTTTTACATTGAAATATAGAAAAAGGTCTTTAAAAATCTTATTCTCAAGAACCACTGGGCCAGAGAAGCTGAAACCTTTGTGGAGGCATCCTGGGGTAGTGTAGATTCTTAATTGTTCAAATCATGACACCCGGGGTAGGATGGGGCCACAATAGCGAAGTTTTACATGGAAATATATAGAAAAAAAATCTTTAATAAACTTCTTCTCAGGAACAACTGGACCAAAAAAGCTGAAATATTTGTGGAAGCATTCTTGGGTAGTGTAGATTCTAAATTGTACAAATCATGACCCCGGGGTAGGGTATGGCTACAATAGGTATTACAAGGGGGAAATCTGGTGAAGAACAGCAGGGCCAAAGTTTCTCAGCTGAGCGTTGTGGCCATTAAGCCTCTTGTTCTGAAATAGCTTTTAATATTAAAAATGACAGCCAGACAAGGTTTAATAAAACTACATCAATACCAAGGATACCTTTAATACCTCACGTCAAAAGTCTTATCCGCCCTTATGTTTATTTAAATCTGTGGTAGTGCAGGAAGTGTACGAAGAATTCCTTTTAATTTGTAGTTTTTCATTCGTTTTTGGTACATTTTTTCTACTTTATTCATAGAAATCATTTTATGTTTTGTTACGCTTTCAACAAATTGTGAAAATGTCGAAGTTAAGTTGATGTTGAAATATTTTGAACCTGTTAATGTCAATATTAAGCCAAATTTAAAAGTAATATATGTAATTTTGTTTATTTAGCATGAAATAATTGCTGTTCCGGGATGTCTCTTATATTTTCTAATGACAAAGCTTAAGGTGACGATAACGAACAGTGATAAATCTCATCAAACCTTCCAACGATACAAATCTGTGAACAGGGCAGAAAAACACGGATCCCTAGAAATCATAGAGGTGGTATCAGGCCACGAAGGATTTAGCATCTCCTGTCGACCGGTCACACCTCGGTAAGCCCTGTGTATTGAAAAGATGTACAGAACAATCCGAAACCAATTCTAGTTTAAAAATAATTTTCTTACTGAAAATGGTGAAGATGAACAAAGATTGATCTCAATTTTTTTTTTTTTAACAAACAATACAAATCTGTAAACAGGGCATAAAACACAGACCCCCGGTAATTCCAGAGGTGAGATCAGGTGCCTAGGAGGAGTAAGCATCCCCTATCGACCGGTTATACCCGCCGTGAGCCTTGTGTATTGATCAGGTAGACGAGGAGGCGTAAAGATAGGGGCTTTGTATACCATTCAATGGACCGGCAATGTATCTTTGTAAGGATTTTTATGAAGTTTAGGAATCCAGTAGAGGTAGGGTAGTTCGAACTCGTCATTATTGACCGGAATGTTAAAAGTATTTAAGACTGAAATGATTTTGAAGAATTTCATTCTTAGAAAATGAACCCTAAGTATAAGTTGGATTTCCAGACATAGTTACTGTATTAAAACCAAGTTCTTCTAAAATACAGTTATAATAATGAGCATTACAAACAAAGACGATATTCTGCTGTCTGCTGGAACCATAACATATTGTTCACTTAGTCTTTCTAATTCTTTTATCACCTCCAATTTAGTGAAAACGGAGGGATAGACGGTTCGAATATTTCAACTTTCTAATACGTTTCTTTAATTAATATTATATATTTCTAAAACGTTTTAAGGGGGCCGACTGGGGTTTTCATTGCGCAATACTTCGCGCAGCATAGTAAAATAAAGCGTATTTACTCTTTTAAAGCAACTATTTTTACATAATTTACAAAAATTAACAAATTTAGGAAAACTAAGGTTAAAAAATCTAATTACGTTTTTAAATAACTGATTTTTTAAACGATTTTTCAAATGATGGGTAGATAGACGTCGTAACAGCGTGTTTCTGATGTTATGAATAACCGAAGTTCTTTAAGCGGGGTCATTAATTATGTCATAAAATAAAAAAGTATAAAATAGATGCTCTTGAAATTTTAAACATAGGAAATTGAGAATCTCACAATCATTTTTATTATTTTTTTATATAAATCTGTGGTATCTGTCATGTTTTGTTGTACTCCATAAAAACAGGAAAATATCACGATTTTTGACATTTTGAGATGCCCCCTCTGGAAACCAGACGGTAGAATTTTGTGTTTCTTGCAAAAAATGTACAATATAGTATTACCCATCAAATAATATAATTTGAGCAAAAAGTCTATAGTAGCATTTGTATAATTTGCTCCGAAGTGCGAAAAAATGGTATTTTCCTATATAACCCTATAGTAAATGTACCTGTATTTTGAGATGGTCCCTAAAAAATAACCAGACGGTAGATGTTCAATAAACTTGGCATATTTACTGAAGTCAATGTAAGGTATATATGGTATAAAATTAAAGAGTTTCTCTATAGTAGTTTTCACACAATAAAACCCCAGTCGGCTCCCTTAAAAAACCAAACATACACCAGCTTTCGAAATAAATATGCAAAAATCAAGTTCTGGAAGTTTCGAGATAATTAAAAAAAAACGGAGAAAATTCCTATGGCTCACTTATTTAACCTCTTGTCCTGCTAGGACTGTTACTGTTACATCAAATACATTTCCAAACCAACACAGTTTAATTAGATACAGTTGGTTCATGCCCTTTGAAAAATAGATTGCTAATAACCAACTCCTCAGAAGAAATTTCATGAAATATGTCATATACAGCCATACAGTTGTTACTCTCCAGCAAAACCCTCAAAAGACGTTGAGCCTTAGTTTTAAAGGAGCCTACAAAGGGTAGTTTTCTCATTGTTTTTGAAAACTTTGATAGCAATGCTACGAAGAAAAAAAATCTACAAAATATGTCAGGTCAAGGAATTGTAAGATTAACATGAAGTAATGCCTAATCTGAGATTAGTTACATGTATGTTCTTTACATGTATGAACAGATAAATATTTGATCATTAAATTACTTATATGGAACAAAGTATGAGTTGTATAAATTATGCTAATTTATTATTAACTTTACACAATTTACAACATTATATATAGTTATGTATTATTGTGTCGAACTCTT